AAGCGCAAGGTCGTGAGTTCGGTTCCCGGTACCGGAGAAAAACCAAAAAAAAAAAAAAAAAAAGATGTGTACATGTAAAAATCCTCCATGATGAGTATGATCATTATATACTGCAAACGTCTTAATGAAAAATAAATTTTTATTTTTTTGAGACAGGGTCTCACTATGCAGTTCAGGCTGGCCTTGAGCTCACTTTGTAACCCCAGGCTGGTCTCAAAACTCACAATGATCCTTCTGCTTCAGCTTCTCGAGTGCTGGGATTACAGGCGTGCGCCACCGTGCCCGGCTAAAAATAAATTTTAAAACAATTACAGTGAGTCCAAAAAAAAGATAAACTTGTCATTTGTTGGAAAATGGATGCGCCTTGAGACCATAATATTAAGTGAAATAAATCAGACACACAAGCTTAAACATCAGTAAGCAAACTGTAAGACAGTAGGAAGTACGGAAATCTTTCTCATATTAGAAGAGGATCAAGAAATGGAAGGGAAGGGAAGGGGATGAAAAAAGGAATTAATATGTGTTACATAAACATGTTCCAACTGCACATAAAGAGTGTAAACATTCTGTACTGCAAACATAAATTAATAATTTTTTAAAAACGAACTCCTACAAATTAATAAGCAAAGGGGAAAGTATCCAGTATAAAAGAAAAAGAATCTGAACAAGTAGTTTAAAGGATGGGAGACTCAAATAAATGCAAAATTCTACAGTTTCATTGTGGTAAAAATTACTGATTAAAATTACAATGAGATTGTAAAAACTGACCATTGTATACTATGTTGACAAATTTAAAAAATCTGATAATTATAATTTACTAGTTACTGTTGTTTAAAAACTTATTCTAAGTGTTTAACGTGTATAAATTGTTTAATCCTCAATCATATGAGGTAGATGGTATACTCATTTTATAGACGGCAGAATTGAATTGGAGAGAAATTAAAATAATACAGAAGTAGCAGAGATACAATTTGAAAGCAACCACTATAACTCTGAGGCTCAACTGAGTTGAATACTGTGCCAGAACTAATAGTGCAATGTGATAAAGTAGAAAGATGTTAGAAACAGGTTAAAGTTATTGTGAGAATTTTAGTAAGTTACTTAATATCTCAGTAACTCATTTTTTGTGTTTCTTCATAGATTGTTGAGGTTTAAGTAAGTTATTATAGTTCTGTACTGCTTACCTAAGTGTGGACAGTGTTGTCATACAACAGAAATCCTCATATATTTCTAAATTGTAAGCGTAAATTGGTATAGCTGCTGGACCAGTTTTTCAAAAAGAGATTTAGGACTAGGGATATAGCTCAATGGTAGAATGCTTGCTTAGCATGCATGAGGTTCGATCCTCAGCATCATTTAGTAAGGTGGACAGACAGAGACAGAGAAAAGGGGGAAGGATAAAAATTGAAGGTGTACTTAGTACCTTCAATTTCAAAATATCTGTTAGAAGATAGCTAATAACTCAACTTCTAACTATGAATTTTAAGCTCTTACATATACTGCCAGGGAATAGTTCACCAGGACGTTCACGGTAGCATTGTTTTTATTAGATGGAAATAACCTTTGCACATCAAGTGAATAGTGAATAAATAAATTAGTGTTTTCACACAGTATAAAAGTATGAGGTTGATTTTTAAATGAACTGGAGTTAGATGGTTGAACACAGATTAATAGATACACTTTTCTTTGGCTGAAATATCTCATGTTTTTAAATTTGGAGATCAGAAACAATAGGTAAGGATAATTTTGGCTTGAAAGGAAAGACGGTAAAAGCACAATATCTGGGGAAGGTTTTGTTTGTTTACATAAGAAATGCAAGGGTTCTTTATGGTTAACTCTAGCTGTACAAACTCAAGAATATGAGGATATATCCATAGATTTTCAGAAAAATCCCTTATTATAGATGTTCTTGGTATTCACTGTTGCTATCCAAATTAAGAATCAGTGATTCAGGAAATGAGGTGTACTTTCACTTGAATTTGTTTACACAAATTGGACTAAAGAAAGCAATAGAAAAGATACTAAAAATTACAGAAGAATGTTTCTGAAGGGGAAGAGTTATGGTATAGAGTATATATTGAATAATTCACCTTGCATAAGAGAAAGGTGATTGTCTTGGTTTCTTCCTTGTAGCTGCGACAAGATACTCGACACATGTAAGTTAAAGTCGGAAAGGTTTATTTTAGCTCTAGAGGTTTCAGTCCATAGTTGGCTGGCTTCAAGCAGGGTGGCCTGGCAGAAGAGAAACAGTCCATAGCAGGGTAAGCAGGAAACAGCAGCCAGCCTCCTTTTTCCATTTATTCCATTCTGGAAACAAGTCTATTGGTTGGTGCCATTCATACGTAGGGTGAGGTTCTGTCTTCGGTAAATCCATTCAGCCATACCCAGAACTATGCTAAACCAGTTGGAGGATTGATCCAGTAACACACATCCTGTGGTGGATGGAAAATTAGTGGTCAATTTAGAACCCCCACTTGAACTGAGTAAGTGTGGTGCAGGGTGTGGGAGGCCCACCTGGGGACTGTTGGCAGCCGCATAAGAAGCAGAACTGGAGAAGAAGTTAGGCTGTTGAGAACTGAGGAAGGCTGTTGGGAGCTAAGAAAAGGCTGTTGGGAGCTGGTAGAAACTGTAGGAGCTGTTGGTTCTTTTGGAAGAGCTTGTCATGCTGGCTTTCTGGATGAATTTGGCTGTTTTCATCCTCTGAGGCGCTCAGGACCTTGTTGGCACTGAGAATAGCTTTGGTTCCCTTTGTGGGGAGCTTTGGTCCTCACTTTGAATATCGCTTCCTGGCTCCAGAGGGGAAGATTGTGCATTGCCAGTCTCCTGGAGAAGCTTGCTGCATTGGCTTCTGTGATGGGAACTCAGCTGTCTTCTTCATCAGAGGAGCTTGGTACCTCACTGTTGCTGAGAATGGCTGTAGTACTTTTCAGGGCAGCTCTGGTTCTTACTTTGCACGTTGCTTCTTGTGTAGATCTCCAGTGTAGATCCCTCAGCCTGCTAGCACAGATCCTTCATCTTGCTGGCACAGACTTCCTAGATTCCACCACTGACCTTTGGGCCTTCCCAGCGCAGATCCATGAAACAGGCCTGCGTGAGATACTGTTATGGTCTCTGGGCCTCCAGTTGGACTCATGGGAGGCATTGTTAGGAGCTCTAGGTCTTCAGCTGGACTCATGTAGGACATTTCCATGGGATCTAGGTCCTCAGCTAGATTCCTTGGTCTTAGTGTGTGGACAGATTTCCTGCACTCTCTTGTATTTCATTCTCTGGGGAACTATTATAAATAATCTTTTTTTTTTTTTTTTTTTTATTGTACCAGGAATCTAACTCATGATTTTGTACTTGCCAGGCAGATGCTGTGCCACTGAGCCATCTTTCCTGCCCAATAATCTTGTAAAATATGTGTCCTGTATTATATTGTTCATCTTGCAATAAGCCCCAAACCAACACACATCCTTAATCCCAATCTCACACAACCCATGATCCAGCCACTTCTACCTATCTACACATGAGGCTTTAGGGGAACATAATACAGAAACCATAACAGTAATGAATTTTACTTAAACTAGAAAGAATGCTATGAGAATAGTATTACATATAAAAAAAGATCTCAGGTATCTGTGTGATAATTGATGAAGTTCCAGCCCAGTGGTCTCTGTTAAATTTGAGAAGTATAAGGAAGGGCCAGGGTCAACTAAGAGGTGAAGCAGCATGGCTGGGCTTAAGTAGTACTTGGCAATAGTTGGATTTTTTGTTTTATCAGTAGAAGTTACTGTGTTTTTAAAAATACCTTTCTAAAAGTTTACTTGACCTTTGCATAGGTCACAGAATTTACTGAGAATCTCTTTAATAGTCTAGACAGTTGGCCGGGTGTGGTGGCGAATGCCTGTAATCCTAGCACTTGGGAGGCTGAGGCAGGAGGATTCTTGTGAGTTCGAGACCAGCCTGGGCTACAAAGTGAGCTCAAGGTCAGCCTGAACTGCACAGTGAGACCCTGTCTCAAAAAGAGAAAAAAAAAAAAAAATTCTTGACAGTCAATTTGATTATATAATACTTAGCCTTTGAACCTTCCTCAGGTTGTTTCCCTTCTTTAGCTTTTCCAGATTAGGGAAAAATTGCCAACACATAGGAATTTATGTATATTTCAGAGTTCATATATTAGTGCTCTCTTTTTTTTTGATACTGGGAATTGAACTCAGGACCTTGTGCTTGCCAGGCAGGCACTGTGCGAGTTCATATATTTAAGTGTTCTGTTACATTTTTATTTAGTAGAGCTAGAAATTATTGTAATATAATCTCCCTTCTTCACTTTATAGTTTAAACCTAATACTCTTGTTTCACATTTTTTATTAGTGCATATTAGTTATAGAGATTAATAGATTTTCTTTTGGCAGATTTGTACATGCAATAACATATTTTGATCATACTCTCCGTTTTTTAGTACAGAAAAATCTGCTTTTTCTGAATGATTCTTTATAATTAGATAAAGATTAGTTTGAAACTTAACTATTCACATGCAGAACTTTCTTTTATTTATTGTCTCTAAATTTTAGAGCTGAACGACAAAGAAATGAAGCACTATATAATGCTGAAGAGCTGAGTAAAGCTTTCCAACAATATAAAGAAAAAGTGGCTGAAAAACTGGAGAAGGTAAGAGGCAATTGTATAAAATCAATGTTTTTTATTACTGTCCATATTCTAAAAATAAATATAGACATAAGTAGAATACGTTTATAGTTAAATAAAAGATTAATTTTTTATGGTTGTATTTATAACAAAATCATTGAAATAAAGAATTTTTGCCAGGCATTGTTGTGCATGCCTATAGTCACAGCATTTGGGAGGCTAAGGCAGGAGGATCGCTGGGAGTTTGAGGCTATCCTGGACTGTGTAGCAAGATCCTGCCTCAAAAAACAAAAACAAAACAGTCATCTCCCCGCCCCCCAAAAAACCTCTTTATTTATATTTTTAAATTAAATTTTTAAAATATTTTTTGCGATTGCCTCTTGTGGTATTTGACCAAGCTGACTTTGAACTTGCCATCTTTTCTTTTTCTTTTCTGTATTCTATATTTCTATAGCAAGGAAATATTATAATTTAGAAGAAAGTGTTATAATTTCAAGGAAAACAGATTGGGAAAGAAGAATAAAAAAAGAAATAAAAATCAGATCGCAAGAAGGCACAAAACCATAAATGAGAAGCAGTGGGGGAGTTGTGGTAGAGCACTTGCCTTGCATGTAAGAGGACCATGGGTTCACTGTTAGTACAGGAAAAAGTAAAACTAAAAACAAAAAAGGGAACTGTGCCAGGCATGGTGATTACATCCCTGTACTTTGGGAGGCTGAGGCAGGAGGACTGGAAGTTAAAACTCAGTCTAGACAACTCAGTGACGTAGCTAGACCCTCTCAAAAAATAGTAAAAGGGAGCCAGACTTGGTGGCATACACCTTTCATCTCAGCCCTCTGGAGACTGAGGCAAGCGGATTGCCTCAAGTTCAAGGCCATCCTGGGTTACATAATATGTTTAAAGCCAGCCTGAACTACGTATGAACTACATAGCGAGACCCTATCTCAAGAAAACCAGAAACAAACCAAAAGAAAAAGGGTTGGAGTTGTAGCTGAGTGCAGAGACCCCAGGTTCAATCTAGTACTATAAAAGGGGAAGAGGGGAAAGAGAAGGAGGTGGCAGGAGCCCAGGAAGAGCAAGAAAAGGTGGGGGGAGCTGCTGTATAAATATGTAATATTGAAGATATAGTGATATAATCTCTAGAAATCACTAATCACTATGAGCTATTTGCTGTCTGTTACACTTAAGATTTCTGGACAGGTAGTAGTAGGATCATGCTCCCTGACTTTTATTACTACCCAGGAACTTCATTTTGCTTCTTTTTACTACAAGACTGAGTACTTAAAACATATGAAATCATTTAGTTCACTCTCATGCTTATTTTTTAAATCACTACTTAAATTTTTAGCTTGAGATAACTAAAACTTATGGCCACATTAGTACATCCACTTAAGACAATTTCTTGTTTCAGGTTCAAGCTGAAGAAGAAATGTTAGAGAAAAATCTAGTTAACTGTGAAAAAGAAAATAAAAGGCTACAAGAAAAATGTGACCTGTATAAAAGTGAACTTGACATTCTGAGGGAGAAATTAAGGTATTGTATTCTATTGTGGGAAAAAAAGGTTTTTGGTATAGAAATGGGAAAAACTGAAACATTTTAAAACAGGAGTTTGTATATTGTAATATGGACTTTTATAATGTAGAAGGATATTTTATGACTGAAATTATTTTCTAGGTATAAGGTCATAATTTTAATATGTTAATGTTCTTGTAAACAATAATACTGATCATATTTGCTTTTCATATTTATTTAGGGAAAATTAACACAGACGTCATTTTTTATAGTATAATCACATTAGCTGGCAAGTAAAGATGCTCAAAAAAAAAAAAGTTTTTAAAGAATCATTTAGTCTAACCTTGTTTTGTAAAGAAACAGAGACCCAGGGAGTAACCGTTATTTGTCTTTTGACTCTTGTTCTGTCACCAGGATATCATGTAAACTTTCAGAGGTTAATATTAAACAGTTCTTATCACCTCAGATTGTCAAAATAACTGTTTTGACTAATTTTAACATTTTCCTTAAGGTAATACATTTAGTATTTTTGCCTAGGTGGAGGAGGGATTATAGATTTCATAGTAGTTACTTTGTGTAACTAGAGTACTTACTAGAATCTGATGCTTTCAGTTGGAAGACATACTTTAAGAAAAATGTTAATTGCACTATGATACAGTACTTTATCACTTAAATTTTTTTTAAAAAAATATTTTATATTATCATTATTATTATTATTATTTGGTAGTAGTGGTGGTATTGAGGATTGCCAACAGCCTGAAATAGTTCCCTGATACTTTCTTTTAGTAGTTTTATTGTTTCAGGTCTTAACATTTCAGTCCTTTGGTTGACTTTTGTGACTGGTGAGAAATAGGAGTCTGGTTTCATATGGATACCCATTTTCTTAGCACCATTTATTGAAAAGACTGCCTGTCCTCCAATGCATGTCTTTAACTAAAAAATCAGTTGGGTGTTGATGTGTGGCTTTACTTACAGATTCTCTCTTTTGTTCCACTGGGAGATATATATACATATAATCTGTCTTTATGCCAATAACATGCTGTTTTGATTATTGTGTTGTATCTTAAAATCAGATACTGTGATGCCTCTTGCTTTCTTTTTTCTCAAGATTGGTTTGACTATTAAAAAATAGCTATATAGACTTCCTGCCTCGTAGGCCCCTGGAGGGAGGGCCTCCGGTGCACAGGGAGCCACAGACAGGGAGCGCCGGTTTTCCAACCTGCAGCTCGCTCCCTGCCTCGTGGGCCCCCGGAGGGAGGGCCCCCAGCGCACGGGGAGCCACGGGCGGGAGCCGCCAGTCTTCTGACCGGCAGCTCACTCCCTGCCTCATGGGCCACAGAGGGAGGGCCTCTGGCGCGCGGGGAGCCATGCAGGCCTTGAGGCCGGCCGCCGCTGCTCAATTGAGAATTTTGTTGAGAATTTTTCCATGTATGTTTATCAAGGATATCAGTCTTAGTTTTCCTCCATCCTTGCCTGTTGAGCTTAAAAATATCTGTTTTGCAGTGCTAGGAATTACACTAAGGCCTTGCACATGGTAGACAAGTGCTGTGACACTGAGCTAAATCCCTAGGCCTCTTGTTTCAGGAAATTTTTAAAGTGATAGTACAGAGCTATCTCAATATTTATCCTTTATTGGTTCTGGGAGACACAGTGAGTATCAAAAATAACAAAGCAACTAGAGAAATTATTTTGGCTGGAAAGGTTAGTGAGTCACAAGGTAATAGACATTGACAAGTTCTTGCTCTGAGTAGGAAACAAAAGGAAAAAAAACTAGGCTAAAATTTCATGTCAAAATGCATTGAGTACCAAACTCACTAAATTTCAAAGCATTCAAGTACCAGGGTATGCATTGTATCTAAATGTGATTATTGAAGATGAATGCATATTTTATTTTTAATTTTTTTTTCTCTGTAGGCAGTTAAAAGAAGAACATAACAATGGAAAAGAAAAATTAAGGATCATGGCAGTGAGAAACTCAGAAGTCATGTCACAATTGACTGAATCTAGGCAAAGTATATTAAAGTTAGAAAGTGAGTTAGAGGACAAAGAGGAAATACTGAGAGAAAAGTTTTCTCTAATGGACGAAAATCGAGAATTGAAGGTCCGAGTTGCAACACAGAATGAACGACTGGATTTGTGTCAGCAGGAAATTGAAAACTCAAGGGTAGAACTGAGAAGTTTGGAAAAAATGATATCCCAGTTACCAGTAAGCATATATACAAAGAAGTATGCTATACTTGATTATATAATGGAAAAGAGATTTCATTGCTCTGTTTTATGAAAGACCATAATTTTTTGGTTTCCTTATTAGCTTCAGTTTTTCTTTTCTAATTGTACTTTCCATTATCTATTTCTTTTCTAACTAATTCCTGTGTTTTTCCCATTTAACCTTTCTATTCCTAAATCTTTTCTTACTTTCTCAGAAGCCATATCTAGGAGTGGCACAATTTTTTGAAAAGCAGCTTTATAGACATACTGTTTGCATACTGTAAAATTCATGAAAGTATAGTCATTGAGTTTTAGTAATTTTACAAATTCTTTTTTTTTGTGTGTGTGTGTGTTTTTTTGGTTTTTCTCCGGTATCGGGAACCGAACTCACGACCTTGCGCTTGCCAGGCAGGCGCTTTTGCCGCTGAGCTAAATCCCCAGCCCCTAATTTTACAAATTCTGTGACCACAATAGTTTCAAACCTTTATGTCATCCCCCAAAGATCACTTGTACCACTTTGTAATCAGTGCCTCCGTACCCACACATGTACACTTGGGAAAACACTCTTTCTGCTTCTATAGATTTGTCTTTTCTGAATGAAGTCATAGTGATCTTTTGTATGTGTCATTTCACATTTTTAATATCTTTGAGAGTCATTCATATATCAGTATTTCATTTTTTATTGGTCAGTGATATTCCATTGTGTGGATATACCACATTTTATTTATTTGATCACCAGTTGGTAGATATTTATGTTATTCTCACTTTTAGGTTATTATGAATAACACTGCTGTGAACATTTGCACAGAAGTTTTTGTGTAGGCATGTTTTTCTCTTGGGTAGATATCTAGGAGAATTGCTTTATTTTATGGTAAATTAATGCCAAATTGTTTTCCAGTATGGGCATATCATTTTACATTCTCAACCAGTAGTTTGTGGATATTTTCTCCATATCTTTTTTTTTTTTGTATCAGGAATCAAACTCATGACCTCAGGCTTGCCAGGCAAGCACTTATGCCACTGAGCTATATCCCTGGCCCCTCTCCATATCCTTATTAACACATATTGTCTATCATTTTGTTTATAGCCATGCTAGTAAGTGTGATGTGGTATCACACTATAGTTTTAATTTGCATTTCCTTGATGGCTAATGCTGAGCAACTTTACATGTGCTTATAGAATGGCATACAACTGGCCTGGAGGTATAGCTTCATGGTAGAACATTTACCCATCATGTACAAGGTCCTCTGTTTGATCCCTAGCACTGCAAAGTGAGGAAATAAATGAATAAATGAATGAATAGAATGTCATAGAACTTTGAAATGTTTTTGTGATAATGGTCTGCCACCTTTTCTCTTTGTATGTGAATGTATATATAGTGGTACCTCAGTTTACAAACCTGATTCTTTCCTTAGTTCTGGTCACAAATCAAACTGTATGAGAACTGAATCAAATTCAATGACTAGGTTGCATATTGACCTTGTGGGAACGTTTGATTTGGTTCTCTTCCAACTTGGTTTGCCACCAGAATCATGAAGAGAATTAAGGGCATGAACCAAGGTACAACTGTATATATATATATGTATGATTAGGAAGAGGATAGATGAGTATACCTGTGTCAGGAACTTAATCACTGATGGGTCTTAAATAAAGATAAAAAATAATTATAGATAAATGATAATTATAGATAAATGTTATGGTTGGCTTTAGTTATGAATGTAGGTTGGACTGGGTGGTAGATTCTTACCAGTTTTAAACTGTCATGGCCCAGGGCATTATGAAGCTGAAAACAGTCATAGAAATCATCTGATTCAATATCATTATTTTATCTGTGAAGAACTGTAGATTCAAAGTAAATGGTTAGCAAGTAGCAGAATTTAAACTGAAACAACTGATTCGTGGCTCCCAACCCTCTGCTGTGTCTGCATTCTAAGATACTGAATATTTGCTAAGATTTTTAATATATTTTCTTTTGAAATTGAAATTAACGTATGCATTCATTTTAAATTGAAATTCTCTTTTGTGGTCAGTGTCAAGAATTATTTGATACATGATTCAGAAGGTTTATGATTTTATATACTTGATCCTGTATTTCATGAAGTGCTAACATTGATGTGGTTTGGAAATGTGAATTTTTTCATTTCTGAAAAGTATGATTTAGTAATAGTTTGAAGCTGGTGATCATTAAGAATATATTTTGCTCATTTTCATAACTTTTTAAAGATTCAGTATTGTTCAGTCATGAAGAAAAGCACTGAGACCAATGCAGCTTAGCATTTGTAAAATATAAGACACATGTTGCTGTATCAGCTTGAGATATTTTTAGAATTAATTTTATAAGTAAAGCCTCTTTATGTAGTTTGTCAGATCCATCTTCTTTCTCCTCAAAAGTAGCAACTATTCTGAAATTCATATGTACCTTTCTTATCCATAATTTGAATATTATACATCTAAAAATATGTACACTGCTTCATGCAGTTTTGAAAATATTATGTATACCACTTTTAATTTGTTTTTTTTTTTTACACAATATCACATTATGGAATGTATCCATATTGGTTTATATAACTCGTTTATTTAACATTACTGTTTTCCTATTATCTTAATACTTGAAACATTCTCCTGCTGTTGGACATTAGGCTGTTTCCATTAAATTCATATAATTTTTCAAACTTTAAATTTTAAATAAGCAGTTACATCCCATATTTATATTACAAATGTACAAATGTTTGTTTTTAAACTTGCAGTTCAAAAGAGAAATACTTGGTTTTAAATCATCTCATTCTAAGCACCAGATGAGTAGTTTGTCAAACAAAGAAGAGAGTTGTGTTGGCTGCTGTGAGGCAAATAAATTGATGATTTCAGAATTGAGGTATACTTTTCAGATTTTGAAGTTATAGCAAATAGAATGGATTTTTTGTTGGTAATTAAATTAAGATGCTTAGTTGAAAAATTTTAAGCTATAAAAAAAGCTCAGAGAATAATATAACAAATATTTAATTGCACGATTAAGAATTGATTCTTTGCTGGGTGTGATGGCACACAACTATAATCCCAGCACTCGGGAGGCTGAGGCAGGAGTATCACTGCAAGTTTGAGACCATCCTGGGCTACAAAGTGAGCTCAAGGCCAGCCTGAACTGCGTAGCGAGACCCTGTCTCAAAAAGACAAAAAATGAAAAAAAAGAATTGATTCTTCTTAACATTTTGTGATATTTGTTTCAAATATCTCTAAATAAAAAATAAAACATTACAGAGTAGATAACATCCTTTGATCTTTACTGGTAGTTCTGTTCTTTCCCTAAATATCCACCATTATGAATAGGTTGTGTATTTTTCTATGTTGTATATGTTTATATCATACACACTAGTATTAAATGTACTATATGTTTGTATTATTTGTAATTTTGTTTTTTCACTCAGCATCATTTTCTGTTGGTTTTTATTTCAAGACAGGCTGGCCTTGAATTCAGTATGTAGCCCAGGTTGGCCTTGAACTTGAGATCCCGCTGCCCTTTTTTTTTTTTTTTTTTTTTTTGGTTTTTTTTTTTGTTTTCGTGACCGGTGACTCGACCTTGCACCTGTGTTTTTTAAATCTTTTTGTCTTTTTGAGACAGAGTCTCACTATGCAATTCAGGCTGGCCTTGAGCTCACTTTGTAGCCCAGGCTGGTTTCGAGCTCACAACCATCGTCCTACCTCAGCCTCCTACATGCTGGGATTATAGGCATGCAAGATTCTCTTTCTTCAACCTTCTGAGTGCTGAGATTACAAGCCTGTGCCACTAGACCTTACTATCATCATTTTAAAAATTCATCCATGTTGAGATAAGTAGAGTGACTGATCAAGGGATGGATCTATATGGTTAACTTACTTTTACAATAGCTGCATAGGAATTGAGATTTATTCAGAAAAATGGATTCTTTCCTAGAACTCCATCACAACTAATTTATCCATTTTGTATTGGTAGTTACCTTGTTTCTAGTTGTTTGTTTTTTTAAATTACAAACAGAGCTGTAAAAAACTGTCAGATAAGATTCCTTGTACATGCATGTGAGAGTTTTTCTTCTATATATTTCTAAAAGTGAAATGGCTCAGTCATGGAGTATCTACATTTTCAAGTTTACTAGTTATTAAATTTGGAAAGTGATTGGTCAGTTTTTAATCCTGCTAATGGTATATGAGTGTTTCTATATCCTAAGCATTGAACAATATCAGAGAAGATCGGGCATGTTCAGGGTAGTAGGGAGGTAGAATAATTGAGTAATATCAGAATTGAAAATTTTTTACCAACTCAGAATGCGAAACATAGTATATTTCTCTAGAATCTTCTTAATAATTTTTGGCTACTCTTTCTTTTGTGCAGGATTAAGGTTGCAATAAAAGAGGCAGAAATTCAGAAGCTTCATGCAAATCTGACTGCAAATCAGTTATCTCAAAATCTGACCGCTTCTAAAGATCACCAAGAAAGTAGTAAATTAAATACTTTAGAAGCAGAACCTATAAATCTAGGTGGTAATCGAGTAGGTGAGTGTCTTATTGAATTATTTTAATAAATGTAACCAGTGTTCTTGGTGATGGTATTTTAAAGGAATAAATTAGCAGGTGGTTTCTACTGACAAACATACTTGATAATCTGTTGTTACTAGTACTTATGGTCTGATAAGACCGTAAAAATTGTGTCAGAATTCTTGGGTTTTGCATCATTTAAAAAATATAATTATTGATTTAAAATTTATATCCAATAATATGCACCTATTTTAAATATACAATTTGGTATATTTTGTTACATGCTTGTTCTTTAATATATTTATACCCTTATATGTATCAGTACAGTCAAGACATGCAATGTTTCCATCAGGATCCCTTGTACTCCTTTTCAGTGTACTTTAGGTTTAATTTTTTTCTTTTTTTTAACTTTTCATACTGAAAGCTTAGAGTGTTCATTTTTGGACCTCTCTTGTGATATAAATATATAAGAGGTAAACTTACCTTTAAACAATGCTTTGGATGTATATCACTAATTTTTATGTGTTGTAGTTTCATTTTCATTCAGTTCAAGATATAATATCCCTTATAATTAATTGCTTGACTCTTAGGCTGTGTTTTATTTCCAAATATTGGGAGATATTCTACATCCTTGAATCATTGGTGATATTCAGAGGGCATGCTTTATATGGTGCTTGTTGTTTTTGTTGCTGCTAGGGCTCGAACCCAGGACTTTCTGCATGCTAAGCACTGATGCTATCACTGAGGTATTCCCCCAGCCTTGATTTTATATTTTAATAGTACTTTGACACTTGGATTATTGGACAGCATTTGTTCAGTATTTGGTTTACTGGACAGCATTTGAACATTCCAAGGGGACTTGAACAAAAAGATCGTATATTTTGCATTTATTGGGCATTTTGTCTTAATATCAGTAATGTCAAGTTGATACTGTTATTTAAGCCTTCTTTATCCTTAGTGATTTTCAGTGTACTTGTTCTATCAATCACTGACAGAGTAATATCAAAATCTTCAGATACATGTTTACTTGTTTACTAATGTTTTTAGTTCTGTCAATCTTTGCTTCTTATATTTTAAAGATATTATATACCTAAACATTTAAGGTTACTATATCTTCTTATTAAATATATCCTTTTATTATATTAATGTCCCTTTAGTCCCTGGTAATATTTTTTTTTTTTTTGTCTTTTTTTTTCTTTTTGAGAAAGGGTCTCACTATGCTATTCAGGCTTGCCTTGAGCTTACTTTCTAGCCCAGACTGGTCTCGAATTCACAATGATCCTCCTGCCTTAGCCTCCGAAGTGCTGGAATTACAACTGCGCGCCACTGTGCCGGGCAGTATTCCTTATTTGAAGACTACTTTGTTTGAAATTAGCACTATTCCAATTCCAGCTTTTTCTGATTAGTGTTTTTTCTGGTGTGATTTTTACCCCATCCTTTGAACCTTTATCTTTGTATATAAAGTGAATTTCTTATAGAAAATATGTAATAGGATCTGGTTTTATTTCTAATCACAGTTTTTGCTTTTTAATTAGAATTTTATTCAGATTTTAGATCACCTGTGTTTAATGTAACTATTGATATTTTTAAATTTAGTCTACCATCTTTGGTTTTTGTTTTTTTACAATTGTGTTTTTCAACTTTTGGTCCTTTTAAAGTATCTGATATAAATCAGTTTAAAGGAGGGAAAGTTTATTTTGGTTTTTGGGAGTTTTTTGTCCTGGGAGTCAAACTCAGGACCTTGCATTTACCAGGTAGACGCTGTGTCACTAAGCTATATCCCTGGCCCAGGAAAGTTTATTTTGCCTGATGATTTCAGACGTTTCAGCCCATTGTCAGCGGACCCATTTCTTTTAGGCATGTGGCAAGGCAGAAGCATTTCAGAAGGACATGGCAGAGGAAAGCCCCTAGACTCCGGGCAGCCAGGAAGCATAGAGAAAGGAAAACAGCCAGAGAGGAAGGGACTGCATACCAGAAATAGTCCCCAAAGTCATGTCCCTGTGATCTACTCTGTTCAACTAGGCCCCACTTTCTATTTGTCACTTCCCAGTAAAGCCATCAAATTATCTCATCAGTAGACCAATTGACTGATGAAGTTAGAACCTTTATGACCTGATCACCTGCCAGAAGCATATCCTCTGAACACATGAACTTTTGAAAGAACATTTTAGATCTAAACAGTAACATTTATACATCTATTTACCTCATTTTGTTCATCTTTCCTGCTTTTTTTTTTTTTTTGAGACAGGGTCTCGCTGTGTATGTAGTTCAGGGTGGCCATGAATTCAACTCACAACAATCTTCCTGCCTCAGCCTCCTGAGTGCTAGGATTACAGGTGTGCGCTACCACACCCAGCTCCTGCTTTATTTTGAACCAAATATATTTTACCATTTCACTTCTTGTCTCTATTAGTATTAATTCACTTATTAGTTATAGCTCTTTATTTTACTTTTTTTAGCGGTTGCCTTAAGGGGTTAACAAATTCATCTTTATAACATTCAATCTTTAAAGACAATAGTCTATTAGCAGAAATGAAAAAAATCAGATATCTAAGTTATTAGAATAGGGAAGAAAATTGTTATGACTTGTATCTAGATGTTTCTGCAAAACCTCCTGTGATCATAGGTGGGGTTTTTAAGAGGTGGCTGGATCTAGAGTGTATGACACTGGGATTAAAGATTTGTGGTAACTAAATGGTTTAGCATAGTTCTGGGTATGGATAATGGATGTCCCATCCTGGGTGTGGGTGGCACAAATCAATAGGCTTATATAGCCTTGTTGGAATGTAGGAGGGAAAGAAGCAATATAGACTTGCTGCTCTCCTTGCTTCTTCCTACCTCCTGCCTGCCCTGCTATGGACTGTTACTCTTCAGCTGTGCCCCTCTGCTATGCTGCCCTGCCTTGGAGCCAGCCAAACATGCACTGAAACCTTTATAAACTGTGAGCTGGAAATAAACCTTTCCTTCTTTAACTTTGTATGTTGGGTATTTTGTCTTAGCAATGAAAAAGTAACTGAGACAAGAATAATGTAATTAGAGGGAATGTTAATTACTACAGATGGTGATAGATACAAAGTATCATAGGTTTTCTTTTTTTTTTATCATAGGTTTTCTGACAGACATGTAGCCTAAAAAATTAAGTATTGTGTGTATGGAGAATTGATGGGAAATGGCTACTTACCTTGCCCTTTAAGGCACAGTGCATCTCTCCTTATTTTCACATGTGTGCTCTTACATTATTCCTGTTTAATTAAAGCACTCCTGAAAGCTCAGTTACTATGGAGTAGATATGTATGTTTCTTGTGGAGAAAGGACATAGCCAAGCAACTACCTCTTAAAGTCCACTGTCGTTTTTAAAAACATCACTATTTTCATCTGCTAGTTTTTAGAGGAGAAAGGTATGATGGGGTGCACCTTTGAATCTGTATCTGTATATAGTACATAAAAATATTCTTTTTTTTTGGGAATTGAACTCAGGACCTTGCGTTTGCCAGGCAGGCACTGTGCCACTGAGCTATATCCCTGGCCCCCAATGCATAAAAATATTCTTAATGATCTCAAATTGTCCAAAAAAATTTTATAATTAATGATAGATTAAGGAAACAGGGTGACTTAAAAAGTTTTTTCAATGATTTTATTGATAAAATAGGATATTAAAAAGTGGGAAACATTCTCAAACTGCTGACATAATTTTTAGTTATTTGGAAAAATGAATGATTCAGATTAACTTTCCCCCTCTTTGTTGTGTATTTAGTTTAGAAAGTGCTTTACTTAGAGCCGGGCTCAGTGGCATACCTGTGATCTCAGCAGTCCGGGAGGCTGAGGCTGAAGGATTACAAGTTCAAGCCCCAGTACCACCAACACAAAAACATGAACAAGACAAAAAACCTGACTTATTTGTCATATTCCTTACATGTTTTCCTTATTATATATTTCATTCTGAATTCCTTTTATTCTTTTTAAATCAGAAACTAAACTTTATGATTAAGTCTTTTGTTTAGATTTTTATTCTTGAAATTTTGTTCAGAATGGTTTTCCTTTTGTATTTATTAGTAGAGAGAATAAAAGATCGAAGTCAACATACCGTGAATAAGCAGTATGAAAGAGAGAGGCAAAAACTTGCTACTGGAATAGAGGAGCTCCGTACTAAACTGATACAAATAGAAGCTGAGAATTCTGATTTGAAGGTTAACATGGCTCACAGAACTAGTCAATTTCAGCTGATTCAAGAGGAACTACTAGAGAAAGCTTCGAACTCTAGTAAACTCGAAAGTGAAGTAAGCTTGGAATTAGCTGGGTATATGTGTTAAATTTTGATAGGAAAAAGATACCGTTATGAGGGTATAACAATTTAAGTCTAGATTTGTAAGTTTCTTTTTGTAAAATGATACCACAGAAGTTATAAATTTTTTTAAAAATTCTATTTGGGAATTTTTCTATTTTAATTTTAAAAGTAGGCATATATTCTACAGTGGCTAAAAGACCTCAGACTTGGTGGAACTAATACTGTATTTCAGTCTTTCTTCCATAGTGTAAGTTAATATGGTTAATTTATATTTACAAGTAAAGAATTTGGTTTCTTCTTTTTTTTTTCCCCCGGTACCAGGAATCGAACTCACGACCTCACGCTTGCCAGGCAGGCGCTGTGCCGCTGAGCTAAGTCCCCAGCCATCAAGTAAAGAATTTGGATTTTGCAGTTGGAAGAAAAGGAGAGGCAGTAGAGAATTTTAAATTTTAGCAAACATCAGAGCCACCTGGGAAGCCTGTCATATTTGTGGGTCCTGTTCTAGCAATGTTAATTCAGTAGGTCTGGGGAATGGCTTAGGAATCAATTTTAAGTAACTATATATGAATCTAATACAGATATGCTGAGTATTATATCCTGAAAAGGGGATAATACATGTTTTATGAAAATCTGATGTTCATTTTCACTGAGGACAGGAAAAGGATGGCTCAATATGTAATTTTGGACCAGGATCACATGTGTATATTATACTCAACCATCAAACCAGAGGCTGGAGTCATCTCTGGGGGCCTTTTTAAATGTCTGTTTTTTTGTTTTTTTTTTAAATAAAAGAAGGAAAACATATTGACAGACAGACATCCATTTACAAAATAGCATAAGAACAATACAAACAAAACAGAGTTACAGACAAAGTTGTAGGAAATTAACCATGGTTGTTGTATTACTTATTGTTATCTTCAAAGTGGTTTCTCAGGAATAAATGTCTCTTTTCATACTCAAAGTCTGTAGCCAAGGCTAAGGAGGTCTTACGGGATTGGAACTTAATAATGTAAAAGGAGATTTAGTCTGTGATTACAGGTACTAGCTTACTTGTTGTCAAGTACTGAAGTTAATAACTTGGACCCAGGAGACAGCTCAGTGGCACAAGTGCCTGCCTGGAAGCGCAAAGTCCTGAGTTCAATCCCAGGTACCGTGAAAAAAAAAAAAAAAGAATGAAATTAATAACTTCTTTTTAAATAACATAGTTAACATACCTTTACTGAACATTTTGAAAATGCAGAAAGGGAAAAAGAGAAAAATAAACCACGGATAATTCTACTACCAGAAGTAATTTCTATCAGCATTTTTTAATACTAATTGCAGTCTGTAAGCAACTCCTTTTAAAAACTGGACTAGGACATAATCTTATTTGGATAGTAAATTGAATTAAATTGCTTATGTGTTATATAGATAATACATATCTCTGGTCTTCCTTTCGCTATTTGTTTTTCTTACACTTATGGGGATTAAAAGATTATTTACTTTGTACCCTAAATGTTTATTTCCATAAATTTGCCTAATTTATTTAGGTGCAACATATTTAAGCTTTGAAAAGAGGAACAAGTATTTGATTTTAGCATGTGAACTCATTACTTTTTTATTTTTAATTTTTTTGGTCTTTTTGAGACAGGGTCTCACTGTGCAGTTCAGGCTGTCCTTGAGTTCACTTTGTAGCCCAGGCTGGTCTTGAACTCACAATAATCCTCCTGCCTCAGCCTCCCAAGTGCTGGGATTACAGGCATGTGCCACCACGCCTGGCTTTGCTCATTACTTTTTAAAACTAATTTTTTTTTTTTTTTTTTTTTTGGTTTTTTGGTTTTTTTCCGGTACCAGGAACTGAACTCACGACGTTGCGCTTGCCAGGCAGGCGCTTTGCCGCTGAGCTAAATCCCCAGCCCCTTAAAACTAATTTTATATTTATTTCATTGTGTTTTAGATGACAAAGAAATGTTCTCAACTTTTAACACTAGAGAAACAGCTAGAAGATAAAATAGTTGCTTATTCCTCCATTGCTGCAAAAAATGCGGAACTTGAACAGGAGCTTATGGTAAAACACTCTTTATCCTATATATGTTTGTTTTTATATTTTTAAGTTAATAGGCTAATATGGCAAATTGTTATCTAAGTTTTTGTTTTTGTTTTTTGAAACAGTCTCTCTATGTAATGCAGGCTGACCTTGAACTCACTTATGTAGCTCAGGCTGGCCTTGAACTCAGCCTCTCAACTGCTGGGATTACAGACATGCATCACCATGCCCAGTTATTTTTTAATCTTAATAAAATTGAAGGAATGATAATTCTTAATATATTTGTATATTTTAAAATAGTTTAGTCTCATTTTAGAGTGTTAACTACTCAAATTCTTTAAAGAATAGAGTGTCACATAAAAGTGACTAATGTATTTTTATGTAAAACTGGCTTTTAATTATATTCTTCTAAAGTGTTTTGCATTTGTAGGAAAAGAATGAAAAGATAAGGAGTCTAGAAACCAATATAAATACAGAACATGAGAAAATTTGTTTAGCTTTTGAAAAGGCAAAGAAAATTCATCTTGAACAACATAAAGAAATGGAAAAACAGATCGAAAGAGTAAGTAATGCATACTTAGTTCTGGGAAGAAACTTAAACAATACTACACCTGTATTACTTATTTTGTAGGTAAAGAAAAAACGACACAGCAAAGGTAGTGGCAAGAACTATAATGAGAATCGTATTTCTTCTGAATCAGTCTCTTACATCTGTGCATATGTTATGGTTTGTGTCTAGATGCCCCCCCCCAAAAGGCTCCTACAGTCATGGGTGCAGAGTTCTAGAGTTTGATATTGATTCATGGTCCAGTGCTAGGGTTATGGATGTGATTGCTCTACCTGCCCTGGAGCAGGTAGCCTGAATACAATGTGAGGGAGGGAAAGAGGCTTGCTGTTTTGGCTCCTCCTGTTTTGCTCTTGTTACTTTTTCTGTTTTCCACCACCTTGAACTATTGCTTTCTGCCATGTGCCACTCTGCCTTGGAGCCAGCCAAGAAACTGAAACCTCCGCAAACTGTGAGCTAAATAAACCTTTCCTTCCTTAATTCTGGGTGTCAGGTATTTTGTCTCAACAATGAAAGAAAAGTAACCAAGACAGTGTGTGTGTGTGTGTGTGTGTGTGTGTGTGTGTGTGTGTGTGTGTGTGTGTTTATTGCAGAAGACTGAACCCAAGGCCTTCTCCATGCTAAATAGGCACTGTGCCACTGAACTATACACACTCCAGATTTGCGAGTATTTTTTAAAATAATATGACTTCCACTTCAGTTTTACATTATCAAAGTAATAGTGATTCTGTGGACTCTACTTCTAGAGTCTAGATTGAAGATCAGCTGAGAGGAAACAATATAAAAGTGGAAACACTCTTAATATTGGGTTAAAAAGTAAAAAAGAAAATATGGGACCCGAAATACACAATCTAATAAAAAGTAGATAATTTGGATAGGCTTAGTTAGCAGAATAGAGGTGACAAGTGGAGTCATTTCAGTATAGAGCAACAGACATTCAGTCTGATCAAAAGAAAAATAATATCAAAAGGAAATGGAGAATCTCAAGAATGGTCAAAGAGCCACAAAAATAGTAATTATTTGGGTAACTATTATAATGAGTTTTCTCCTGTGAGGAATTTATTTATTTATTTATTGTCTTTTTGAGACAAGGTTTTGCCGTGCGGTTTGGGTTGGCCTTAAATTCACTTTGCAGCTCTGGCCTCGAATTCGCAGCAGTCCTTCTGCCTTGTCTCCCTAGTGCTGGGATTACAGCACCACCACACCTGGTTTTCCTGTAAGGATTTTAATAATATCTATGACAATAGAAAAAAATTACAACATTTTCTGGTATGGTATGTTGGTTTGTTACATCTGGAAACTACAATATGAAGAAAGAAGTTAAAGGGACTGATATTAAGTTCTGCATTTCACATTGAGTGGCAAAAATAAGTAGTCGATGAAAACTTAAATATGTAAGCATAATCCTTAGAGTGGCCACTAAAAAACTATTGAGATATAGTAAAAAAGCTAATAGATAAATTAAAATTTGAAAATATTCAGATAATTTAAAAGAAATCTGGAAAAGAGAAACAAGTGAAGAGACAGTGAAAACAGTATTAAAATAGTATGCTTAAATTCAGTATCAAAATTACTTTTGAAACAAATAGGACTGAGATTGTGAGATTATGAGATTGGATTTTTAACAAGACTGATATATATATGGTCTTCAAAAAATTCATTTTAAATATATAAATAGGCTAAATATAAAAGGATAGAAGAAGATGTACAAGGTAACTACTATCAAAAGAATGCTGGTATGGCTATGTTTTTTATTCAACAAAGTAGACTTCAGATAAAAAAAATTACTACAGATAAAATAGCATTATATAACAATAAAAGGCTCAATTCACCAAGATTACATAACAGTTCTAAAAGTATATGTATTTAACAACAGAATTTTAGAATATATGAAACAATTAAGAGGCCTATCTTAGTTACTTTTGTTTTGTTGCAGAGACAAAATACCTGACACCCAAAGTTAAAAGAAGAAAGGTTTATTTAGCTCATTTTGGAGGTTTCAGTCCATAAAAGGCTGGCTCCAAGGCAGGGTGGTGAAGCAGAGGGGCAAACAGTTCATGGCAGCAGAACACAGCAAAACCAACAAGAGTAAAAAGCGGGGAAGAAGTCTCTTTCCCTCCCTTACATTATATGTAAGCCATCCACCCATTATATGTAGAGCAAGTGTAGCACTTACACTCCCAATCCCAGCGCTAGAAAATGTACCAGTCACAAACTCTAGATTCAGCAGCCTCAGGAAAACCTGCCCCTAATGACTGCATGAGTCTTTGGGGTGACATCCGGACACAAACCATAACAAGGCCTGAAAGGAAAACCAAGTTAACCTAATATGGTTGCAGATGTTAGAACTACTGTTTTGTCTTATTGCTAGAAGAAATAGACAAAAAGAAACAATAGATACAGAAGACATCTAAATAATGCCATCAACTAACTTAATCTAATTGATGTCTATAGACTACTCCAAACAGCAACAAAGTAATAAACAATCTTCTCAAATGCATTTGAAATATTCACCAAGATAGACCATATGCTGGTCACAAAAATAAATCTTACTGCATGTAAAAGAACTGAAACCATGTTTAGAATGTTCTGCTTTTTTTTTTTTCCCGGAAACGGGAATCAAACTCACAACCTTGCACTTGCTAGGCAGGTGCTGTGCTGCTGAGCTAACTCCCCAGCCCCCATGTTTAGAATGTTCTCAGTCTATAATGGAATTAATCTACAGACCAGTAACAGAGTGATAAACCAGAAAATTTCCAAGTATTTAAAAACTAGACAGTACACCTCTAAATAATCCATTAGTCAAAGAGTAGGTCTCACAGAAAAATGATAGTATTTTGAAATGCATGAAAATGGAAATAGAATGCAGTAAATCCCTGACTTACGAATGAGTTCCATTCTAGGAGAATTGTTTGTAAGTTTGGATTTGTTTGTAAGCCAACAAAATAGTGACTCTTACACAGTATACCTGTGAGAGTTCATAACTTGAATGTTCCTAAATCAGGGGCTGACTACATACAAAATTTATGTGATGCAGCTAATGTAGTTCTTAGAGGGATATCTATAGCATCAAAGGCAAATATTACAAAAAAAAGAAAAATCATCTAAATGTCTAGTTTATGAAACTAGCAAAATCAATCAAGAAGAGAAAGATGGAAATAATAAGAAATGTAACTAAACACAAAACATCAGTAACATAACTGAAACTAAAATCTGGTTCTTTGAAAAAAATTCAGTAAAATGTGTAAATCTCTAGCCAGCCTGCCCCAGAAACAGTAATTACCTATACTTGGAATAAGAGAAATATATCATCTATACACCCTGCAGACAAAAAACAACAAACTAAAAACTTAACCTGAGTTAGTGGACCCTTGAGTTATGACCAGCCTGCCATATGGACAACTTGGGTTCTGACCAAAATTTTAGTTTTAACTTAAAACAGAAGTCTCACGTTATGACCCAAGTGGCAGCCACTTGTGCTTCCAGATGGTCTCAGATACAGATTTAACCCTTGAAGAGTTCTGGAAGGAACATTACAGTATCCTTTCCTATCTGGGGTTAATTGAGAAACACAGGGCCAATGTCTCTCTCATTTTTGGTGTTTTAGATTTTCTGAGACAGGGTCTCACTGGTTCAGGCTGGCCTTGAACTCACTTTGTAGCCCAGGCTAGTCTCAAACTCACAGCAGTGCTCCTGCATCAACCTACTAAGTGCTGGGATTGTAGTTGTGCACCACCATGCCCAAACATACAGTACATTTTAAAACACAGCGTTTCTCAGCCATAGCTCACAGCTAACTGACTGCATCAAAGTAGGTAAAAGGTCACATACACTAAAGTTCGGTGACCCACTTCTCTTATTGAGGATCCCTGCCTTTCTGTTGGGTGGCCCTTGGTATTATATTTTCTTCTGTATATTAAAAAATGTTTCAAAATTTTAAAAATTTGACATGAAAATTAATTCCTTTTGTTGTTGTTGTTTAGCTTGAAGCTCAACTGGAGAAAAAAGACCAACAATTTAAAGAGCAAGAAAAGACTATGTCCATGTTACAGCAAGATATAATGTGTAAACAGCATCATCTTGAGTCACTAGATAGACTTCTGACAGAAAGCAAAGTGGTAAATTCATCTTTATAAAACTGCTATTTAAAAGCTAATATTTTAAGTTTTAATAAAGTACCTTAAATCTAATTAAATCAGTTGTTTAGTAGCTTGTTTTTAGTGCAAAAATGTTTATTTACACCCATATTGTTTTTTTCTACCAATGTATACTCTTTCAGGAAATGGAAAAGGAAAATATGAGGAAAGATGAAGCTTTGAAAGCATTACAGAACCAAGTATCTGAGGAAACAATCAAGGCTAGTATACTAATACTTTTTGTCTTTCTTATTGGAGACATTACAGCTTTTAAACTTTTTCCATAAATGGTATACATAAAAGTCAATTAAGAGCTAACAACTTGACTCAGTGAACTTTATTTCTATTTTAATCTTAATTATTTGATAATAATGTCATTGGTAGGTTAGTCCCTTTTAAGAAAGGTTTTCTTAAGCTCAAAAAATGGTTTTTAAACTTTAGCCATTACTGCGACTTATTAGCATTACCAAAGAATTAAAGAGGAAAGGCAGGAAGATGCAACTGAAAGTCATCCAATTTTGCCTCTCTTTACCACTTTTTCTGTAAGATTAAACCCTTATTTTGCAGCTAGTATATGTTTTTGTGCCTAAAAATAAAATAAAATAAAATAAAATAAAAATAAGCTGTACTATGTACATGTAACCATTCCCAAGATGATTGTAAACTGCATGAATTATAAACATGTAATAATGAAATGGAAAAAAGTGATAAAATAAAACCTGGACTTTCCTACTCATGGTGGCACACACCTGTAATCCCAGCACTTGGGAGACTGAGGCAGGAGGATTGCTGTGCGTTTGAGGCCAGCCTGGGCTACATGGTGAGTTCAAAGCCAGTCTAAACTAATAAGACTGTCCTCCCAAGGCCCCCCCCCAAAATAACATGGACTTTGTTAGTGAATTGGGTTTCATTTCTGGCTTCACAGTGCTTACTACTTGGCTAAAATTTTGCAAGGTCATATAAGTTGTCTAAACTTTAATTTTATTCATTTGTAAAGTAGTGATAACAATATCTTAAATATTAGCTGAAACAAGATAAAGTGTTTAGCATATAATAAGTTACTCATCTTAGTGTAATAGCTAATTATTATACAGTAATCCCCCAACCTCTTATTCATGGTTTCACTTTCTATGGTTGGTTACATGTGGTCAACTGTGGTCTAAAAAAATTAAATAGAAAATCTGGGAGATAGGCAATGCATGAGTTTTAAATTGTGCATCGTTCTGAGTGGTGTGAAGAAATCTTGCATTTGTCCCCATATATTCCACCCAGGATGTGAATCATTCATTTGTTCAGAGTATCCATTTAATATATACTCTCTGCCCATTAGTCATTTAGTGGCCATCTAGGCTATCAGATTTATTGGCACAATATCACAGTGCTTATATTCAAGTAACCCCTACTTTACTTAATGGCCCAAAGTTTTATCAACAGAAGCTATGAAGCATTTTCTTTCAGGGAAAAGGTAAAAAGTTCCTTGACTTAATAAGGAATTGGCAGGGGTGGAACAAACTTATATGCTGATATCAGTGGTAAAAACAAACCTGTGCATTGCATTATAAGGAATGAAAATTTGTGCTAGTTTTACTATTGTAACTCAAACTTCAAAAGTCACATAGTATGTGGTAAGAGCATAGTTAAGATGGAATGGGAATTAAACTGATGCATATATGTACTGAAAAACCAGTTTGTATGTGGTTTAGTACTATGTGGTTCTTGAGTACTTCTTGTGGATAAGAAGGGACTGTTATATATTTGATATTTTCTCCTTTGCATTTGTGGAGTTAATAGGTCCAAATATGCTGCTACCTAATGCTACTATACACAGCTTGAATATAAAAGATCTTTTTTTTAAAAAAAAATGGTTGTTTACTTTTTGGCTAGTATTAGATTTTTTTTTACTTTTTACCTTGCAAATTCACTGAATTCTTTTGTCAGTACTATTATTTTTTTAATTAAGTTATTGGTATACTTTTGAAATGCATAATGATCACATTCATCGTAGGGAATTTGTACCTGTACATTTTTTTTTTGGTACTGGTAATCAAACTCAGGACCTTGTGTTTGCCAGGCAGGCGCTCTGCCATTGAGCTATATCACCGGCCCTGTACCTGTATATTATATGTCTTAGTTCCTCTTTTTTTTTTTTTTTACATTCTCCTTCCTTTTAACCCTTCTTCCCCTGCTTTTTTTTCCATTTCATCCTTTTTTTTCCTAATTGTTTTGTTTTCCCTTCCATCCCCCTGCCAGTTCTCCTTTCCCTTTGAACAATCACTTCCTGTTTCACAATGTCTATTATACATTTTAGTTCTTATTTACATTTTCAGTTTCCCACATCAGAGAGACCATATTTACACATAAATGTCCAATTTATTTCACTTAGGAGTATGGTCTCAAGGTCCATCCATTTAGCTATAAAGGTCTCAAATTTTTCTTTAGCTGAGTAGTACTCCACTGTATAAAAGAAAAAAACCATATCTCTTTTATCCATTTGTTGGTTGATGGACAATTGTAGCTTCCAATATTAACTATTGCAAACTGTGCTGCTATAAACATGGGTGTGCATGTATCACTGTAGTATGATGCTTTTCATTATTTTGGGAAGATGAAGTAAAAGATCTTTACATTGAAAACTACAGTACTCTGAAAAAGGAGATCAAAGAGGATTTCAGGAAATGGAAGGATATACTTGCTCATGGGTAGGAAGAACCAGCATAGTAAATAAAAATGGCTATACTCCCAGAATTAGTATGCAGATTTAATGCAGTCCCAATCAAAATACCATTAGCATACCTCACAGAACTAGAGAAAACATTCGTAAAATTCATTTGGAACCAGAAGAGACCTAGAATAGCAAAAACAATTCTGGGTGACAAAGGCAAGGCAAGGAGCACCACAATCCCTGACTTGAAATTATACTACAGAGCTTCTGTGATAAAATAGTATGATACTGGCCAAAAAAAAAAGAAAGAGAAAACAGACCTGAGGATCGGTGGAACAGATTAGAAGAGACAGAAACAACTTCAAAACGCTCAACTATCTTATCTTTGACAAAGGGCCAAACATGTTTACTGGAAAAAAGAAAGCCTCTTTAATAAATGATGCTGGAAAAACTGGCTTTTTACATGCTGATAACTGAAACTAGACCTATTTATATCACCGTGTACTGAACTAAAATCAAAATAGATCAAAGATCTAAATATTAAAACAGAAACACTAGTATTGAATTAAATCCATTTTGTGACTATGTATGCCCATGTAAACATAATGGTATATTTATCCTAACTGTTACTATAGTATTCACCTATGTCAATTTATTTCCTCATGTAAGAAGAACCTCAAAATTCATTAATCCTAAAAAAAAATCACTAGTATACAAAGGTTGTGGGCATGAAATAATCTTTTTTTTTTTGGTTTTTTTCCGGTACCGAGAATTGAACTCATGACCTTGTGCTTGCCAGGCAGGCGCTGTGCCACTGAGCTAAATCCCCAGCCCCTCATGAAATAATCTTTAGAATTCTGTTTTTCCTCTTTGTTTCCTTCATTTGCAATGAAGAAACTATTTTCTCAAAAGAATGTTTTCCATAATGGCATTTTATATCTTAAGTAGGACTGTGTATTTAATCTTTGAAGCAGTGATGTAACAGTGGGAGATGAGTCTGTAAAATGTCAAGTATATAATAAATTGAGTTTTTTCCCCTTTTTTCTTGCCTAGGTCAGACAATTAGATTCAGCATTAGAAATTTGTAAGGAAGAACTTGCCTTGCATTTGAATCAGTTGGAAGGTAATAAGGAAAAGTTTGAAAAACAATTAAAGAAAAAATCTGAAGAGGTAAATTAACATTTCCTTTATGTGTTGCACATTTTCCAAGTGATTTCTTTTTGAGAGATTATTTTCAAAATACTTCAAAAATTTATCTTTTGGTAAAACCAGGTATTATGGTGCACACCTATAATGTCCGCACTCACAAGGCTAGACAGGAGGAGTATTATAATTTGGAAGCCAACCTGAACTACATAGCAAGACCCTTTTGGTTTCCACAAACCAAAAGAATACAAATAAGAAATGGAACTTTCTTTTTGGGATAAGGTTGCAGATATAAATAAGGCTCTTTCGTTTTGATTTTTGAAACAAGGTTTCTCTATATAGTTCAGTCTGACCTTGAACTCACTGTGTTGCACAGGCTGGCCTTGAACCTTGTGATTCTTCTGCCTCAGCCTCCTGAATGCTGAGATTACAGGTCTGTGTCACCACTCCCAGCTAAAGGCCATTCTTCAGTCGTCTTATTATCTCTATATTCTCAGTATGTAGTACTTTACTTTCAATACAGCAGAGTCTTACTAAATGTTTAATAAAAGAGATAGTTTTAGTGAAAGAGATTATGTTAGTGAAAAATTATTTTATTTCTTTTGTTTGTTTGGTTGATTTTTTGGGTACCAGAAATCAAACTCAGGACCTCGTGCTTGCCAGGCAGGCAGTACGCCCCTGAGCTAAATCCCCTGCTCTATTTTATTTCTTTGTTAGAATTTATAATGTAAGTGTATTAACCCTACCTAAGTTTATATTTAGAAATAATCCTCAGTGAGGATAATAAAGATTAACTTCAGTGTATCAGAAAAATCCAGGCAGAAAAACAGAAATACTTACATATATTTCCCATGGAAGGAATTGCATACAGAAGAGTAGATACACAAATAGTAGGTGAGTAGAGAAACCAAACAGTACACTAAGGCAAGTCGGAGACTCTCATAAGCAGGGGACTGCTGTCATCCTTAGAGCTGGAAGAATATGAGGGAGAGATGGTAGGACTGTATCCAGAAGCAAGCTGCTTCACTGGAGCCAAAGAAAAAGGGTCTGTATAGTAAGAACTGGAGCCATGGAGGAGGAGGACTGAAGCCACTAGCCACTCCCATAGCCAAACCTATGGATAATCTAGAGGGCAAGGGTTACTAAGAAATACTGTTTCCTACAACATGCAGGACAGAGCAAGGAAAAGGCAGAAATACATCTAAGTGCAAATACCAGCTGACCAGCACTCCAGACTTAATAAGGACATCATGTAATGATATAACCTTGAAGTTTAAAAAAAAATTGTAATTTCTTACAGAGAAAACATTTTAATGCTGGTTAATATAATTAACATTGTAACAGTGGATTTGTGGGTTTTACATCATATATAGTTAAGTTTTAGAATTTCAGATTTATATGGTCATCTTTTCTATTCCACCCTTGAAGTTTGTTTTTAAACTGTGACAAAACTTCACATTTATTAAAGGTTGAGGGTATAAAAGACTCTGTAGAAGGAGTTTGGGCAAAGTAAAAGTAGGAAGAAGAGAGGGAAAAGATTTTATGAGACTGATCGGCTACCTGCTGTGCTAACGGGGCACCTGAGGGAAAAAATTTTAAAAATACACCCTTACAGCACAGGGTGGGCCACTATGAAGAGACACAATAGCCTCATGAAGGTTTATTATTTTCCACTTTAATATATTGAAATTAGTAAAACTGTATATTTTGACTTTTTGAAATTTTAATGTCATTTTTACTATGATCTTTGAAATAATACAGAAACATATTTTGGCTCGTATTCTACTGGTTTCACTCCAATCCAGCATAAATACACTTGGCAGAGATGGAATCTGGAGGTAGGCAGCATTTGCAGTAAGAGTTTGTTTGCATCCTTAGAAATGACTATAGAGCAGATAACAAATGTTTACATACAGAATAAACTCCCAGAAGAGCTGAGAATATAAACCTAGGTTCAACCTGGGTTAGAAATCAAGTAGTAGTCACATACATATGACTAGAGCAGGAAGTTAGTAAATGAGAAAGCCTGCTTCTTGCTGCTGAATTATTTGCTCAAATATACATGTAGTTAAAAAGTTAGCTGTCGCTTTTTCTTGTGTCTTAGAAAGAATATGGAAGCTGGGTATGGTGCCACATATCTGTAATCCCAGCTACTTTGGAAACTGAGACAATAGGATTTCAAATTGGAGGCCAAGCCTTGGCAATTTGGAGAGACCCTGTCTCAAAAAAAAAAAAAAAAAGCTGAGGATATATAGCTCAGTGGCAGAGCAAGCACAAAACCCTAGGTTCAATTCCCAGTACTGCAAAGAAAAAGGAAAAGAGGAGGAAACATGGAGAAGAATCTAAGTACTATTCATGTTTGGCTTGTCTTTGAGCAAAGTGTAGATCAGGTCATGTAAGTGCATACCTCTACCCCAGCTTCTACTTTCTTTTTAAGCAACAATGCTAAGAATAGGTTAGATATACATTAACACTAAATAGTGTTCAGTGTAAAGTAGATTTTATAATCTAAATGTAGTTTCTTATTGACTTTACTAAGAAAATGATCCTCTGGAAAAAATGTACTGACTAAATATTGTAATACTTTATTAGAGGATACAATATAAAAACAATTCATCCTAAATTTACTTTTTTTTTTTTTACAGTTCTGGGGATTGAACCTAGGGCCTTGTTCAAGGCTAGACAAGTGCTATACCACTTAGCTATATCTCCATCCCTAATACTTTCAAAGTAAAGCTAACTAGAAGTGCAAAGACAGTGCAATGAAATGCCAGTGTAAATTTAATAAATATAAATTTCATATATAATAGGAATCAATATTCATGATACAACTAACATTAGATGTTTTGATATATGTAATTGAAATTTTGCAAGTAGATAGATTACTGAATAAAATTTTGTTGTCATGTGGTATGACGTGATGTTTTGGTTAGGTCTTACTGTTTTTTTTTTCTTTTGTCATATTTAAGTATTTTGTCCATTTTCTTTCTAAATAGGGAAATGTGAGACAAGATATTCCAGTAAAGAAAAATTAGTACTTAAATCTTTCTGGCCGGAAAGTCAGCTCTACATAAAATAAAGCAGTACAGAAGTATAGTCTATAATTTTGTCAGGATCTAACAGAAAACAATACAGGTTATACTAATATATTTTTACACTAAATTATTTTAATGTAAAACAAATTAGCGTAAAAAGAAATCTAACAGAATTAGAGGGCTGTGGGTATAGCTTAGCAGCATGGTGCCTGCCTGGCAAGCTTGAGGCACTGAGCTTGATTCCTGGTACCAGAAAAAAAAGAATTAGAAATTGGCTAGTTGCCTGTGACGTGAAGATTATTCCAAGTTTACAACATCATATAATGAAGAAGTCTGAAATGTTTTGTTTCTTTGAGACAGGGTCTCACTTTGTAGTACAGACTGGCCTTGAACTCACTATGTAGCCCAGGCTGGCCTCAAACTCACGATAGCCCTCCTGCCTCAGCCCCAAGTGCTAAGATAATAGGCATCCTCTATCACACCCAGCTAGAAGTCTGAAGTCTTACAGAATCTCTCATCATGAGCAGACTGTTGGCCCCCAAACCAGGCAAGGTAGCTCGTACCTGTAATCTCAGCTCTGTGGGAAGCTGAGGCAGGAAGATTGCAAGTTTAAACCCATTCTGGGCACCTTAGTAATTTAATAAGGTTCTGTCTCAAAAAATAAAAAGGGCTGAAGATGTAGATTAGTGTGATTCTCTTCTGTTGTTATTTTTGTTTTTTGGTTTGGTTTGTTTTTGTTTTTGTTTTTGTTTTTGTTTTTTTGGTGACAGAGTCTCGCTTTGTAGTTCAGGCTCACCCTGAGCTCTCTAGTCCAGGCTGGTCTCAAACTCACAGTGATTCTCCTGCTTCAGCCTCTGAAGTGCTGGCATTACAGGATTCTCTTCTGTTTTGTACAAGGAGTTTAAAATTCCTTGCTTGTGGAATAATATATATTGGAAAGAATATTTGCTGTAAAGGAATAGCTTTGTTTCCATTTATTAAAAAAGATTTATCCACAACTTACTCTCTAATACTTCAGTTATTTTTTTATGTGTATCCTTACATTAATGAAATGTGATTTTTTTTTAAGCTTTATATTACAAAATTTTATGTTGGCAAATGTTCTCAACCATGGTTTTAAGTAGATGCATCATATTTAATCAGAGGGATATATTATCATTTATTAAAACTTCCCTTTTGAGCCAGGTGTGGTGGCGTATGCCTGTAATCCCAGCACTTGGGAGGCTGAGGCAGGAGGAGCATTGCTAGTTTGAGATTAGCCTGGGCTACAAAGTGAGCTCAAACCCAGCCTGAACTGCATAGCAAGACCTTGCCTCAAAAAGACCAAAAAATAAAAATTAAAAAAAGCATTCCTAAGTAATTTTAGAGATGTCTTTTAAAGCAATTTTGGAGACCAGCATACTGAAGTCCAAAATATTTGGAATAATAAGTGAAATTTCCTAGTTCATATTGTCATTCCTTTATGTGATTTTTGGAGCATGAACATTCTGGATGGCTTTACCAGGACATTATCTTATAAACAGTGATAACAGCAACAACAATATTAATATTTGTATAGTAGTTTCATAGTGGTAGTTTATTATCAGTAAAGGGGAAAGATACATCAGATAAAGTGTATAGAAATCTATGGCTACCTGTGACTTCCCTCTTTCTGAGAGAGGTCACATAGAATATGTTCCTTTCCATACAAGTGGAATGTGATAAAAGCTGGGCATGGTGCTGCACACCTATAATCCCAGCACTTGGGAGGCTGAGGCAGGAGGATTGCCACAAGTTTGAGGCCAGCCTGGGCTGCATGAGTTCAAGGCCAGTATGATCTACATAGTGAAACCCTGTCTCAAAAAGAAAAAGAACAGCGCCTGCCTGCCAAGCATAAGGTCATGAGTTCAGTTCCTGGTACCAAAAAAAACCAAAAGAAAAGCAAGAAATGGAATGTGATAAGATATATGTAGTATTTCTTCTTAGGGAAGCCTATTTTTTGTTGTTACTGTTACTATTGTTGTAGTTTTGTTTTGCTTTTTTGAGACAGAGCCTTACTATGTAGCCGAGGCTGACCTCCAACTCACAGTGATCCTCTTGCCTCAGCTTCACTCCCAAGTGCTGGAATTACAGGCATGTGCCACCACACTCAGCCGGAAGCCTGTTTGTGACTCCAAAGTTCAGAGTTTTATTAGGAGCTGGTCACATAGGAATAATGGCCAACTTATAAGTATCCAAATTACATAGTCCCAGAAAAACAACATGTTGCAAACATCCAAAACAATCTCATCATATCCCCAGACACCCCTGAAGAGCCAACCCTATAAGCCGTACCTTATAATAATAAACCTGTGCATCAGAAAAAGGAACACTGCTGTTCACATGACTGACTGTGTCCTTACCTGTAGCCTATAACTACAATTGTATAAAATGGCAAGTGGGGATAATTGAATTGGAAGACAGTTTTGACATTACAGTGCTTTTTAAATTTTGAAACATTTCATTCATACATACATACATAATATATATATATATTTTTAGGTATATTGTTTGCAGAAAGAGCTGAAGATAAAGAGTCACAGTCTTCAGGAGACCTCTGAGCAAAATGTTATTCTACAGCATACTCTTCAGCAGCAGCAGCAGATGTTACAACAGGAAACAATTAGAAATGGAGAGCTAGAAGATATTCAGACTAAACTTGAAAAACAGGTATATATTGACCATAAACATTTTTTTTTGTATAAAATAGAAATTTTTAGAATCACTAACATATTTGTATAAATTATTGCTTAAGCTCAAAGATTTCACATTATGAGGAATATTCCATATTAATGCTATAAAAATAAAGTTCTATTCCAGTGTAATCTGACCTGAATCTGTAATACTGCAGTCATTTGTCATTCTATACAATGGGGTAATAGTTTAGTGTTGTTTTCTCAATCTTTTTTTCCTTGAACCGAAGTATAACACCTATCTGAATCATTACCCTTCTAATGTCTACCTTTTGGATCAGTACATGATGTCCTATTTCCTAAACAAATAGCAAAGCAATGCATTAAAAGAAAAATCCCAAGGGAAAATTCTGCTTAGTTTTGAAAATAAATTATGAGACTGGAGATGTAGAGCTCAGAGGCAGAGCACTTGTCTAGCATATATGTAGCCCTGGATTCAATTCTCAGTCCTACAAAACCAAAATAATAATAATGACAAAAAATAAATAAAATTACTTATTACTTCAGTGAAAGTCTTACAGAATTTTATCTTACAATCGTATAGTTTGTTTCTTGTGTTCATTACCAAATTTGTCTGAATTCTTTTGTTTTCTTTTTTCAAAAGAAATAAAATTTACAGAAGTGTATGAAGTGTTAAATTTGTACATTTTTCACTGTAATTTTATACAGCTTACCTCTTGTCAAGTGGAAATGGTCTTTCATTATTGTGAATTCATCCTTAGCCTCTGTTGTGCTTGGAATGTTCCCACCAAAACTCATGTTCAAATTTAATCCTTATGGTCAAGTATTAAGTGGAACTAGGTGGGACTTTTAAAGGTGATGGAGTCATAAGAATGCTGCCCTCGTGGATGGTTTATCTTGAGAGTGGATCTCTTATGAAAGCTAGTTTTGCCCTGTCTCTTTTATGGGGTTCTCTTGCCATGTGATGTCCTCAGCTACCTTGAGACTCTTCAGATTCCCCACCAGGAAGAAGGACTTCAGATACATCATCGTGACTTTGGATTTCCCAACATCCAGAACACCTAGTAGAGTAAACCTTTATTCTTTATAAATTATACAATGTGTGATAGTCAGTTATAGCAACGGAAAACTTCAAAGGTAGCCTGTCGGTATAAGAATCTCCTCATTACATTCAAACATATGAAGCAATAAGCAACTATTCTGCATCTTTTTTAGATCTTCTTGTGATTTTCCATTCTTTTTGTTAATGTCTAGACTAGCTTGTCATGCCTGCTGTACAACTTCACTCTGAAGTATTTCTCCATCTCAGTATTTCACTCCCACTAAGTTCATTATCATTTGCTCTCATTTTTACAGATTATGATTCTTAGTTCTACTAAAGTAGTTTTCATTTCCATAGTGATTTTATAATTTTCTTCCCTTTGGAGAGTAGTTTTCCTTACCTCTAAAAGTTCATTCAAATTTTTGTTTTGGTTCTTTTATATCTTGAAGATCTTTGTTTTCAATGATTTTGTGTTCTCTTTAACTTCTTAATGATTTACAGAAACTTATACTTTTTTTTTTTGGTTTTTTGGTTTTTCTCCGGTACCAGGAACCGAACTCACGACCTTGCGCTTGCCAGGCAGGCGCTTTTGCCGCTGAGCTAAATCCCCAGCCCCCAGAAGCTTATACTTAAAACTTCTGTTTATAGTCTCTTCCTGCTTTTCATTTGTATTCTACTATGTGTAGGCTCCATGTTGGATTATTTCATTAACAGCTTTTTTTGTTTGTTTTTTTTCCAGTACCGGGAATTGAACTCACGACCTTGTGTTTGCCAGGCAGGCGCTGTGCCGCTGAGCTAAATCCCCAGTCCCTGGATTATTTCACATTATTGCTTATCTTTAAATTTCTTTCATTTGTGTTTGTGCTATTTAATCAAGAACAGAGGGCAAAGACTCCTTTTTTCTTTTTCAGCAGAGTATTGGTTTTGTTTGGTTGGTGGTGCTGGGATCAAACTCAGGTCTCACGTATGCTAAGCAGTGATCTGTCATGGAGCCGCATCCATCAGCCTTTGTTAACCTTTTTTTTTTTATTATTCTGTGGTGCTTAGGATCAAACGCAGGACCTTGTATGTACTAGGCCAGCATTCTACTGCTAAGCTGTATCCCCAACCCCTGAGTACTGTACTGTTAATACTCTGTATTTCTTAACTTGAGTTGGACAGAGAGATATTAATGGTTTTTAATATATATTTAGTCCTTCAACAGAAGTTTTGGAAGACTGGGGATGATATTAAAGTCAAAAGTAGAAATTAACTTTGAGACCACAGTCATGTAAACATTCACTGAAAACATTAAGTGACTGAGATTATGTGGAATGAGAAGGGAGAAGATTGATTTGGATAGATCCCTGAGTGATGTTATAAATGGAAGTGTTTTATAAAGGAAGGAATGACAGTTGGTTTCACAAACTGCTGTAAGCTATGTCAAGTAAAATGAGGGTTGGAAAAATTCCATTGATGAATTAATCATTCAGAAAATACTAGTGATTTAATCAGTTTATTTGGAATGACCAGTTTCTCGTGGGTTGAAAAATAAGAAATGAAAGAATGATACAGCAAGCATAGAAACTTAGAAAATTGAGCTACAACAGGTTTGAAAGAAAGGGATTGTAGGTCAAGGGAGGCAGAGGTACAAAGGAAGCTTTTTTATAATGGGAAGGTCTTGTTTATTTATTTATTTATTTATTTATTTATTTTGGTTTTTCTCTGGTACTGGGAACCGAACTCACGACCTTGTGCTTGCCAGGCAGGCACTTTTGCCGCTGAGCTAAATCCCCAGCCCCAGGGGAAGGTCTTGTTTAAATAATAATAAAAAAGTAGAGGGAATGAAGATACAGGAAAGGAAAAATAGAAGTTCCTGTGAAAGGAAGTAGGAATTGAATCTAGAATACTTGGGAAAAAATTTTACTTACATGGGCAGAAAAAAATACTACCTTTGTTGTAGAACAACAGGAGGAAGCATAGTAGCAAATGCAAGCTGTAAAGTCTGAGTTCAGGGGAGAATCTAGGAAGACTTCCCTGAAGAGCTATTGTTCATTTCTTTTGGGGGCGGGGGAGTATTTGTGTTGGTTTGGTTTTGGTTTTTAGTTTTTTGAGACAGGGTCCCACTACGCAGGCCAACCTGGTCTTGAATTTACTGTGTAGCCTGTGCTGGCCTCAAATTGTCTGCGATCCTCCTGCCTCAGGCTCCCAAGTGCTGGGATTACAAACATGTGCCACAATGCCTGGCTTACTTGAGTTTTTATAGTAAACTCTGAAACTAAAGGACACAGCAGGCTACATATTTATAATTTTTTTTTTTGTTGTTGTTGTTTTGTCTTTTTTTGAGACAGGGTCTTGCTATGCAGTTCAGGCTGGCTTGAGCTCACTTTGTAGCCCAGGCTGGTCTCGAACTCGCAACAATGCTCCTGCCTCAGCCTTCTGAGTGCTTGGATTACAGGCATGCGCCACCATGCCCGGCCTTAAAATTTTTTTTCTTGGGAATAATATTTAGCTGTGGTTGCATTTAAAATACTGACTAAAACCTACTTTCAAGGTATCAAAGTTGGAACAAGAACTTCAAAAGCAAAGGGAAAGTTCAGCTGAAAAGTTGAGAAAGGTGGAGGAAAAATGTGAAGCAGCTGTACATGATGCCGATTTGAAAAGGCAAAAAATTATTGAGCTTACTGGTACTTCTAGGTAAGATGTAAATTCATTAATTTTTACTTCCCAACTTTTTATCACTACTGAGTTTCAAAATTATATAATATCCACTGAAACATTTGCCTGAGGAATTAATTTTTTCATAATCTATGTTCTGCACCATTTTGTTTATATTTTTTCATATACCTCATGTCTTTTTGTATTTTGGTGTAATACTTTAATGCTTCTGCTGTATTTTGAGTTCATTAAGGCCTGGATCATATCTGGTTTATTTTAAGGTTGTCAACAATTAACACAACTGGCATAGGTCCTTATACCTCACAGGCACTCGGCAACTGTTGGTAATTAAACTGAATGACATTCAAAGTGCAGTCAAACTAGTCCTCACAGAGAAGGAACTTGAAGGGGATGTAATTATATGTGCATAGGAGTAACTTGATAAAACAGTGGTTTTCAGTATTAACAGGACGTTAGCATTACTGTGTAGTGTATAAGAAATACTGTTGCCTGGACCCCATCTTCGCTTGTAAAGATTCTGATATAATTTGACTGGGGTGGGCCCAGGCCTCAACATGTAATTGGTCAGGAAAGGAACTCATGAACAACGCCTAGCTTTCCCCAAGAAAGCAATACCTAGCTTCCCCAGACCTCTTCTACTTTGTCAACAAGAAACGAAATAATTAATAATGCATTCATAATTAGTCTACCTTTCTACCAACAGGAGCCAAGAGTGAACCTACATACTGGAATTATAGCCACATGTCCCAGATTCCCTCTCTTCTATTTTCTAGGATTAAAATAGGACCTTTGTGCTTAGAGTAGCAACTTGCTTCCTCCCCTCTCAGCAGGACCAGGATAGTATCCCAAGTTTAAGGCTAAGACCATAGCTCTTCAGACCTTCTTCCCATTGACAGGTATCCACCCACCAACATTTCCCTATCACTAGTGCGTACTAGTTCATGAAGTCCATGAAGCTAATCACATTTTAACTTTATCTTTGTTTATGCCAGAAACCACAAAAAGTACTAGATTTCTAGGTCAAACCTTTTCCACTCAGTAATTCCCAAAAAGGTTTTCACATACTCTCCTTTATCCTACCCATCCCAGCTTCTGAAAGACTTTTACTGTGCCTTCTGGAATTCACTGTATATCCTGAGAGACATTCCCTGTGTTTTCTGCCTCTTTTTTCTTTTTGTAATGGAAACATGACATTCCCCTGAGAAGCTGCTTTTTCTGAGTCCCTCTAAAGTAAAAACTATTCCCCACAGCTCTTATACCACAAAGGCATAGAGTAGTGTGCCATACTCTGTGAACCTAATGTCACCAGTTCGTGTCATGTCTCACTATTGCGAACACTTATAGACCAGCTGACTTATAGACCACTTGTTGCTCTCTCTAACACCACTCCTAATACTTAGGGATTTCAATATATCTAGCAAATCCTTCTGATATCTTGGCTGTCCACTTAAAAAAAATTCTTTTCTTCTAATGATCCTGATTTCTGTCATACCTGAGATACTTATCCCGTGATTTAATCCTAGATCTTATAATTTCCAATGTTTATAATTTCTCAAAAATCTGAATGTTATGCAGTGTTCTTTCTAGTATCCCAGTTCCAACAATCATGTGACCCAGTTAGGATCTGTAGTGTGTCAGTTTTACGGCTGACTCATTCCTTGATGTGTTTTCTTCTTTCTTTACTGAGATGAAAATCAAGTTAGTCATTAAAATTACTAATTTGCCTATACCCACAACTCTCTTATTCTGCTTTATGTGGTATGCAGCATAGAATTAAAATCCAATGCAGACGACTCCATGTTAGTATATGTATGGAAACCAGAGGAAATCTAACCATGTTGATTAATCTAACGTTTTTAGCTTTTTATTTATTTATTTATTTATTTTGAGAGAGGGTCTCACTGTGTACTTCAGGCTAGCCTTGAACTCAGTATGTAGCCCAGGCACGCCTCAAACTCACGGCAATCCTCCTGCCTGCAGGAGCCTCCCTAGTGCTAGGATCACAGGCGTGCTCCACCACACCTGGCTGAGTAATCTAATTTTAGATTCATAATTTCAAACCTTAAGCATTCCCTTTATGCTACCTGGAAATCATAATATTATTTGTGAAAGATTGTTTTTATACCTTTGCCTCTTCTTTCAAAATTTCATCAGCTTCTTTCCACACACCGGTCTCATTGATGATCTTGCTTTTTCTCTACTGGAAAAATTGGAGCAATTGCTTCTCACTTTTCTTAACCCCTATGTTCTTAGTTCTAGATCACCCTCAAGAAACCCACTTCATAATTATAGCTAATGGGCATGTTCAGTAGGAGAGCAACGTCCTAAATACTGATACGAAGCTCATGAACCAAATGTTTAAACTTCATGAAAAAGATGTACTGTAGGTTCAAAAAAAATCTCATGAGGGGTTTTCTCTATTCCCACTAGTACTTTTTTCACTTACAGAATTACAGTTTATAAAAGTTTTTTCTTCCAAAGGTAATAGTTAAAATGTAGTATATCTGGCCATATTTTCTTGGGTGTGTTTTTAAAGTATCATCAAGTAGAAAGAAAGAAAACCAGCTTATTGCGTACCTTCTTTGTTCCAGACAGAGTGTTAGATGGACACATTAACTCATTTCACCTCAAAACAATCCTGTAATATTGTTTTATTATCCATTTAAAATAAGGAAGCTGAAACTCAAAGAAGTTAGGGTATGAAATACACCATTTAGACATGCTCTAAAGCTAGAAGGGCTTTTTTTCTTCAGTTGCATAACTACTAGAAGTTCTTCTAATAGTAAGTGTCGCTGCATAGGGATGGTCCAGCACCTAATTTCTCACTGTAAAAACCCATAGAACACTGTCTAGATTTCTCATACTGTCCCTACAGCCATCTCTAAATCTTTTTTACATTGAAGAAGATGGAGCATTTCAGCTGTCGTATTCTAAAAGTTTAGTATTACTTTGGCCTGTTTCTTCTTTTGGCCGTTTCCAGTTTCAGGCTTAATTACCCACAATAAAGTGAAGTGTTTCTGGAAAAAATGGTGAGTTTAAAGCCTCTTATAAGAGTTTAAAGGTTACTGAGAAATTTTTATTAATTGGATTATTAATACAGTAGTAAAAGATTTAAAAGACTTAAGTATTTGTTCAGCAAGGAATGAGTAGTTGCCCATAAATTAAGAAATAATGGTAGAATATATTTCTTATTGAGTACTCTTATTGAATAAAATAAAACAGAGCACTTTTTTAGTAGCAATTTTCTGAAATATATATTTTCTTGATGTTTCCATCTTCTCTTGATTTTCATTATACTCATCATTTATTATGCCCTGCTGAGATATAGACCTACCCTAATGCAACCTTGGGGCATTTAGAGCCCCCCCCTTTTTTTTGTTTATTTGTTTTTACTAAATACGAGCTGCTGGACTTTATGAGTTTTTGTGTGTATGTGTTTTTATATTTTTTCTCAGCTCCTTTGCTAACAAGCTGGCAGCTCTTAGTAATATAATGATGTCAGTCTTTTTTTATTATTCTTATCTAAATATGTTTCATATCTGCTCTAATACCAGAAAACAGTTGGTCAGCTAGAAATTGTCCCCTGCCCCAGAAAAAAATGATAAAAGTTATTTACATGGGTTTTAGAAATGTAAAAGGATCAGTACTTGTCAGATCTAGTAGCTCATAAGTAAATTGGGCCATGTACATACTGAGGAGTCAACAGAACAGCTATATATAGTTTTGTATATAATTTCAGAGCTTTTATGGTTTTTCTCAAGTTCACTCATGGACTCCAAATTAAAACCTCCTCAAACAAATCCAAATTTAAGTTATGTACATCATACATACAAACAAACATACATTTATTGTGCTGGGATTTGAATGCAGGACCTCGTACATTCTAACATATACTCTCCCACTGAGCTACACCCTAACCCCTCTACATTTAGAAAAGAAATACTTCTACTTGCAAACCCAATTTAGGAAACTTTGATGGCCAAAAGAATAACCAAATGTTGACACAAAGGAATATAAACACTGCCTGCCATTGAAGATAGCATTAACAATTACTGTTTTAGTGAATACCACTTTGGAATTACCAATAAAAGGATTTAAAACTGCATCTCACTATGTTTGCATATCTGTAGATAGAGGAGCTTCCATATTGAAATAAGCTCAGGATTGCCTGCGAGTCAATAAACTTGGCCTTTTCACTATTGATATCTAGTTGTATTGCCTTAGACAAATTCACCTAACTTTCTAGTTTCCTCACCTGTAAAGTAGGAGCTGTACAATATAGGAAGCTCTAGTGTTGCCACCCACCCCCCTTTGCATTTTTTTTTGTACCGGGAATCAAACTTAGGACCTTGCGCTTGCTAGGCAGGCCCTTATGCCACTGAGCTATATCGCCAGCCCAGCCCCTCTTTGCATTTTAATATAGGGTCTTGCTATGTAATCCAGGCTAGCTTTGAAATCACTATGCAGCCCAGACTGGCCTCAAACACATGGTCCTTCTGCCTCAGCCTACCAGGTGCTGTGATTACAGACATGCACCATCAAGCCCGCTTTCTAGTTCCTTTTAAAGCTAAAATAGATAATACTAATAATACAGTTTTAGGTGAAATGGAGTTTAAGTTTGGCTCCAACTTTTATAAAAATTTATAAATCAGGCATGGTAGCGCACGCCTGTAATCCCAGCACTCAGGAGGCTGAGACAGGAGGATCGTTGCGAGTTCAAGACCAGCCTGGGCTACAAAGTAAGCTCAAGGCCATTCTGAACTGCATAGTAAGACCCTGTCTCAAAAAGACAAAAAAAAAATTTAAAGAAATAAAAACTTATAGTGAATAATTCGGTTGTTTGGCTTCTTTATTGTCTGGTCATAGATCAGATCGTAGAAATTTGCCTGTACTCACAACTCCCTTATTCTGCTTTATGTGGTAATTTTAATGACTAACTTGATTTTCAGCTCAGATCATAGAAATTCCAGGTGAATGAGGTACTTATCCTTGGATGCTCTCAATACATGTGAAGCTTTATAAAGTTATACGTAGTTAGATTGAAAAGAATGCTAGGCTTGTTAAATATTACTAGGTAGCACATTTGTGTTTAGTGGAATCTAATGGGTAAAGAAATGATAGTCTTTTAGTTGGAGAGTTTTTAAAAATATAGTAGGTGAGCAACTTTGTTGAAGATAACAGTAGGTAATGTAGCAGCCATTGTGAATTCGCATCATTTTGTTTTGAGGTCATGTGTCATTTTTGTTGTTTTTGTGTTGTTTTGATTTTGTCTTCATTGTTTTTAAAATTTTTAAAATAAAAAAGTAGAGTAAGTGATTTAAGATTCTGACTAGAAGATGGCATGGTGCCACACACCTGTTATCCCAGCACTCGGGAGACTGAGGCAAGAGGGTTGCCACAAGTTCAAGGCCAGCTTGGGCTACAGTATAGTGAGTTCAAAGTTAGCCTGAATTGCATAGCAAGACCCTGTGTAAAAAAAAAAAATTCTGACTAGACATTTGGCTAATATTTGTCCTTATATAATTTTCAGACTTTGTTTAGTTAGAGACAAATCTGATGGTTTTTAAGTTTTCTAATTACCTGTTGTGTTATTTGTTTTTAACTAGGCAAATAAAACTGGAGATGGATCATTATAAAGAAGAACTGTCTAAAATGGAAAAAGAAATAATGCATCTTAAACGAGACGGAGAAAATAAAGCAATGCATCTCTCTCAATTAGATATGATCTTAGATCAGACAAAGACAGAACTAGAAAAGAAAACAAGTGCTGGTAAGCAGTGGATAGCTGAGTATCTTTGCCTGCATGTTTGCATTTAAGAAGTAGAATAAGATGAGGATTTGAGATGATAAAGCTAGAAGGGACAAAGAACAGTCAGTATTTTGCATCTTATAGATAAATAACATTCAATATTCTTAATTGTAGTTATTTTTTACAAAGTTCTTAATAACAGATGTCTAAAGTTGTTCCCGCCTCATCATAGTGAAGGACTTAGAGAAGCTACAGCAGCACTCAGAAAATGAGCTGACAGAGACCCTGCAGAAACGAGAAGCCCTGGAGAGTGAGCTACAAAATGCTCACAGGGAGCTGAAAAGTACTTTAAGACAACTGCAGGAATTGAGAGACGTGCTACAGAAGGCCCAGTTATCCTTGGAGGAAAAATATACAACTATAAAGGATCTCACAGCTGAACTTCGGTGAGTAACATAATATAAGAAAAAAATATCACAATTGCAGGTACCTCCTTTATTACTCTGAGTCCTTGGGTCATACAGTAAAATTTGCTGTTGAGTTCTAGATGTAACAATTCTGGCTCTGGGCCGGGGGTTTAGCTCAGCGGCAAAAGCGCCTGCCTGGCAAGCGCAAGGTCGTGAGTTCGGTTCCTGGTACCGGAGAAAAACCAAAAAATAAAAATAAAAATAAACAATTCTGGCTCTGGCTTATCCTGGTGAGCCCATCCCATGTTCCATCTGATTCACAACTGTTGCTATCAGTCATTACTACTTCTGTCCTTAGTCTTTGGACCACTTTACACTGGTCTTGTGGGGGAAAAAAGAGAGAAAAAAGTGGCTAATAGCAAAATAATGTTAATGATATTGTTCTTTGTATTAAGCCCATATTTTATGTCAGAACTATGACTCAGATGTCATATACATCCTAATCACTTCCTTAAAATAAAGCTATCAGATATGTATTACCATCTTCTTATAGTTGAGAAGACTAAGGCTTGAGAAATTAAATAAAATGTCCATTGTAGATAGGGCCCAGAAAAAGGAGTTAAAGATTGAGCAAGATGGCACATGCCTGTGATGCCAACACTCTGGGAAGCTGAGGCAGGAGGATCACAAAAAAGGACTTGGGATATAGCTCAGTATGAAGGCCGTGGGTTCAATTCCCAATACTGTAAAAAAGAATGTGCATGTGCTGGGTAAACAAAAGTCTGTCCAACTGTGAAATCTGAGTTCTAGATTAGCATTGGTAGCATAACATGCTGTGCAGCTTGTATCTGTACTCAATGGAAATGGAGAAGTGAACCAGAGCCAAAGTATTCCCAATAGATCCAGAAAAAGAAAAGAGAATTGTAAATCAGATGCAAAATATAAGTATAAAGGCTAGCATAAAGAACAGCAAGGTAACCCCAAAACTTAGATGTTAGTGCCCAGAATTCAGTGTAGTGCCCCCATCTCTTCATTGTCCACCAACTCAGCCTCAATAAATTTCATATGGCTTTAAATACTGTGTGCAAAACATTTGAACCAATTTTTCCAGCATTAACCTCTTTCTCAAACTCCAGATTCAGTATCCAACTTACTATCTCCACTTGGATTTTTTTTTAAGTACTGGGGATCCAATCCAGAGGGTGCTGAACTACTTCTCCAGCACTTTTTTATTTTTTTATTTTGAGAACACTGGTCTCAAACTTGGAATCCTCCTGTCCTCATCTCTGAAGTAGCTGTTTGTGTATATAGAAATTAGAGTTTTCTTTAGAATTAATTTCATATTGTTTTAAAATTATTCGTTTTAGGGGCCAAACATATAGCTTGGTGGTAGAGTGCCTGTACTTTAGCATATATAAGGCTCTGGGTTCAATTCCTAGTCCTATAAAAAATGAATAAAATTAGTTTTAGCCTTGTATTGTAACTCTTGGAACTTTTAGAAGAATATTAATTCATTAAATAAGTTTATAGTCTGCTTCTTTTTATTTTGTTTGTTTTTTTGTATTTTGCTGGTGCCAGGAATTGAACTTACAACCTCGTGCTTGCCAGGCAGGCGCTGTGCTGCTGAGCTAAATCCGCAGCTCCTTACAGTCTGCTTCTAAAAGTCAGTACTTTCATCAGTTTTGTTTCATTTTCTAAGTGAAAGATTATGATTTTTAAAATCAGCATTTTCAACCTTTGTCATATCAGGACCTAGAGTTCCAAATTACAACTCTCTGCTCATAGGCTTCAAAGTGGTCAATAAATTAAAACTGTCAATATTAAGAATTTTTATGACATAAAATTACATAGAAGCTTTTAGTTGGGTTAGAATTTATTAAAAATCTATTTTTAAATGTATTTATATTAGGCTTTATATAATGTATAGTTATGAGTAAAATCCCTATGAGAAATACAATGGTTGGGGCTGGGGAGAGTGTAACTCAGGTAGAGCATTCATCTAGCATAAGTGAGGCCCTACTTATCAGGGATACCAACCATTTGATTTTCTTTGTTTATTCTGTTGTAATAGTGTCACAGCTGTTATATGTAAAAGATTTTCAAACACACCCTTGATCAATATATGAAAAAAATACAGTTTTTTTTTTTTTTAAAAATCTTAACAGTGATTCAGTTTTAGACCCCCTGGAAATGATTTAATAACTAGCTTAAAATGTCTATAATTGTATAGGTTAAGTGAACTTTTTTTTGTCAGTTATTCTCTTACACATTTTTCTTTAATTTGAGTTCTCAATCTGAGTTAATTTCATAATTCTATTCCTCTTAATTTATAGGAAAAGTAATCCAATTGGTTAACTTTTTAATATTCCTGTCTGCTTTGACCTTTTTTCTTTTTTTTGGTTTTTGGTTTTTCTCTGGTACCGGGAATCGAACTCACGACCTTGCGCTTGCCAGGCAGATGCTGTGCCGCTGAGCTAAATCCCCAGCCCCTTGACCTTTTTTCTTTGATACATTCCAGAGATTGCAAGATGGAGGTTGAAGACAAAAAACAAGAACTCCTTGAAATGGATCAGGCACTTAAGGAGCGAAATTGGGAACTAAAGCAAAGAGCAGCTCAGGTTGATTTTCTTAATTACATTTTAATGAAATTTTTTGTTATGAAAATCATACAGGTTTTAGAAGTCACCTTGGGACAAAGTGGCATTTTTATAGTATTTTCCTACATATAAATATTTTTCACATTAGAAATATATCTTCTCTCCTGATCTTGGTATTTTATACAGCAAGTAGGTTTTGAGAATGATTACTCTAGTGTGAGTCTTTTGATCTTTTATCTTACTCTATATCTGAAGAAAACAGGATTTTAAAAGTTACTTTCTCAGTAAATATTAGAAGAAAGTAAACACCCAAAAAGGCATTACTTAGCAGTTTTTGTCCAGCATAAAATGAAGTCTGAATTATTTTGTCATTATGAACATAATCACTCATAATGTTAAATTTCTGTAGCCTATATGAGTCTAAAGCGCCAATATTAGTGAATAATGGTTTCTTTTCTTCTTTTAAAAAATATTGTTTATTTAAGATGAGTTTATCTTTCAGTTTATCTAAACAGTTCCAGATCACTCAAGTTTTCACATCAGTATAAACTGAACAGTGATTTAATACTACTTTTGTATTTAGGTTACACATTTGGATATGACTATTCGTGAACACAGAGGAGAAATGGAACAAAAAATAATTAAATTAGAGGGTACTCTGGAGAAATCACAGCTGGAACTTAAAGAGTGCAACAAACAGGTAATTTTTTTTTTTTTTTTTTGGTACTGGGAATCGAACTCAGGACCTTGCACTTGCCAGACAGGTACTTGTGCCACTGAGCTATATCCCCAGCCCGTTTTTTGTTTGTTTTGTTTTTTGTTGTACTGAGAATCGAACTCAGGACTTGCGCTTGCCAGACAGGTGCTTATGCCACTGAGCTCTATCCCCAGCCCTATTTTTAAATTACATATTTTAAATTTTTAAAACTCGATCACTATAAGCACCCATTTATATAATATGGCATTTTTGTACTTTTTTTTTTAAGATCAGATCTTATGTGGCCTGGGCTGTGTTTTGAACTCCTGGGCTCAACCTATTTTCCTGCCTCAGCATCCAGAATAGCTGGGACTTACAGATGCACATGACTGCACCTGGATATAGCTTTTTTACACAATACATATGATAAAAACATTACACAAGTTGGGTGTGGTGGTACATACCTGTAATCTCAGCACTAGGTGGGGGGAATACAAGTTTGAGACCAGACTGGATACAGTGGCTTAGGGAAGCCCTGTCTCAAATGGCTCAGTGAAGGCTTTGTGTTCAATTCCCAATACCACCAAAAAAAGCCAAACAAACAAACAAACAGCAAGTAGGTTTTGAGAATGATTACTCTAGTATGAGTCTTTTGATCTTTTATCTTACTCTATATCTCAAGAAAACAGGATTTTAAAAGTTACTTTCTCAGTAAATATTAGAAGAACGTAAACACCCAAAAAGGGTTTCATTGTCTTATATATGGTATTTATTTTTGCTTCTTAATGTTATTTTGAATAATTTTTCTTATATCAGTGTGTCCGTGTTCTTATTATAATGTGTGCATGTCTGAAATGTATAACATATCTTAGGAAGATTTGTAAGTAATTCTGGAAACTAATTGCCTCTTAGGAAGAAATAATGGTAAGGAATCTTTGTTTCCTCTATTTTTCACTTCATGTATGTATTACCTATAAAATTATTCTGAAGGTAATGTACATTTGTTTTTTTAATGCACCTTTTTTATATAAATTATGGATAAGATTTTGGTATATTCAAGTGTATATGTAAGCATCTTTTTAAACAGTATAAGGATTTTTATGCTTGTTTTCAAGTTACGATTTTTTTTAAGAACTATACATTTTTAGACTTTGATTTTGATATTTTAGATGAGTGTTCAAAACTGACTTAGAGCCGGGTGTGGTGGTGCACGCCTTTAGTCCTAGCACTCGGGAGGCTGAGGCAGGAGGATCATTGTGAATTTGAGGCCAGCCTGGGCTACAAAGTGAGTTCAAGACCACTTTGAACTGCATAATGAGATCCTGTCTCAAAAAGATTAAAAAAAAAAAAAACAACTGACTTAGAATATAGCTATGATTAAATTATATTTCCTTAGTTATATTAAGAATACTTATCTGTTTAAAATTCAGATAGAAAGTTTAAATGAGAAATTGCAAAACGCCAAAGAACAGCTTCGAGAGAAAGAGTTTATAATGCTGCAAAATGAGCAGGAGATAGGTCAACTGAAAAAGGAAGCTGAAAGAACACAACAAAGGGTAAAAGAAATTGAAAAGGTAAGCAAATAATTTTCTATCTAAGGAAAAAGTAGCATTCTTCAAAGTATGAAGTGAATCCTTGTCCCGAGCTGGTTTTAATACATAGAAATTGAGTCTTAAATGTTATTAGGCAGCTTCTTTGTGCCAGATGCATATTAGTGTCTTTTAAAAATAGTGTATTATGGAGCTGGCCTGGTGATGCATACCTGTGCACACCTCCCGGCACTTGGGAGGCTGAGGCAGGAGAATCACCAGGAGTTTGAGGCCAGGCTCCTTCAAAAAACCAATAAATACATAAAATATTGTATTCGATGGTTTAAGTATGGGCAAGGACAATATCTGTTTATCTTATGTATCTTTGACATGTTATCTATCATGTAATACAACCCACAATTTATACTAATTTGGTTAATAAATATTTATTGAGAATCTACTATGTAAAAAAATTTAAGATACAGACATTAATAAAAAAGTCTTTTGTCCCTGAGGAACTCCATTCAGAGAATGGGTAAACAATTGATAATTGTGTATTATTGAGGTCATTGCATAGTGTTTTTGTTTTTTTTTTTTTGTTTTTTTGTTTTTTGTTTTTTCTCCGGTACCAGGAACCGAACTCACGACCTTGCGCATGCCAGGCAGGCGCTTTTGCCGCTGAGCTAAATCCCCAGCCCCCATTGCATAGTGTTATTTGATGAAGTTTGATGGCTTCATATCATCATTTTTATATATATATATATAAAATGATTCACCAGTCAACCTATATGTATAGGTTGACTAGTGAATCCTTCAACCCAATTTGCCTTTTTAAAAGGTGAATTTGTTTCTATAAGCTCTAATGAATATAACCTTTTCTTGTTTTTAAAGACTCAACTTTGAAACTTCAGATACATTACAGCTCTTTACTGTGTTTAACTGTCTGTCTCCTCCTATACAATACTAACTCCATAGCCATTTTTGTCTTTTGTTCACTTCTGTGTCCTCAACATCTGGAATTGTGTATATCGTATAATAAGTGTGAATAAGTACTTATTGAGATATACTGGTTAAGTGCTTGTATATATATCTAAAGAAGGGTTTCTGAGTGCAGGTTTAGGCCCCAAACTTGGGGGTGAGAGATGATGATTACTAGACCTATCATTTTAGATTCCCTATGAAGAAATGTCTAAAAATATGTAATAGAGCTTATATTAATTTATAACCTGAGCCTTCATTCCAAACATTAGGGATTTGTAGTGATTTGTACTAGTTTCTTTTCCTCTTCTTTGAAATCAAGTGTCAATACCTACTGCCTAACTTGTCTTACCCAGCTGACAAAGAACAGATTCAGTTTTGATTCATTTTTTTTTTTCTCTAAGAAGCAGTACAGTTTGAGGATTCCTTATCAAAAGACTTGGGACTAGAAGTGTTTTAGATGTTGAATGTCTTTGGGTTTTGTAATATTTGTTTATAGATAATGAGATATCTTGAGGATGGGACCTAAATCTAAGCATAAAATTCATTTGTGTTTCTAATATACCTTATACAACTGGTCATAAAGCTCAGCGGCACAAGCACCTGCCTGACAAACACAGGGTCCCAAGTTTGATTCCTGTTACAAAAAAAATTCATTGACTAATATACCTTATACACATAACCTACAGATAATTTTATATAATTCTTATACAATATTTTTAATAATTTGTTGCATAAAACAAATTTCCATGATGTGGAATTTTCCACTTATGTCATGTTGGTACCCCAAAAGTTTCCTATTTGCAGGGGATATTTCAGATTTTGAATTTTCAGGTTAGGAATATTCAATTTGTACTTTACTAGGGACTTAACTGAGTAATGTAAAAACATTTCCAAGGGAATAATAGCCCCAGTAACAAGTTTTACCTTCATCAAAAATAAGGTCATAGAGCCGGGCGTGGTGGTGCATGCCTGTAATCCCAGCACTTGGGAGGCTGAGGCAGGAGGATCGTTATGAGTTCAGCCTGGGCTACAAAGTGAGATCAAAGCCAGCCTGAACTACATAGCGAGACCCTGTCTCAAAAAGACAAAAAAAAAAAAAAAAAAAGAATAAGGTTATACATAATCTTAACCCAGCTAACAGGACTAATGGTGGACTTTAATTATCCATTCCAATAGTGTCCATTTTTAACATGGATAATCAAATATTAACATCCTTTTTTTCTTGTCTGTACCCTTGTATATTCTTTCATAAATGTTACATTCATAATAAAGAATTATGTAGCTTGCATGTATTGAAGTTTTGGCAAAATAAATCAAGGGTTCCAGATTTATTACAATACTTGGTCATTTTCTTATTTAAGGTTTTACTTTCCTGAATTATCATTTTTGCAGTGGTGACAACATATGTTAAAATTAAAAGGGATTTAGTTGAGGGGAGAAATTCATTTATTAAAAAGAAATCATAGCCAGGTGTAGTACCTCACACCTGTAATCCGAGCACTGGAGGCTGAGTCAGGAGAATTACTGTGAGTTCAAGACCAGCTTGTGTTACACAGTGAGTTCAAAGCTAACCTGGGCTACAAAGCAAGACCTTGTCTCAAAAAGAAATCAGAATAAAAAGTTGACTATAACTATATACTTTACTTCAAAATCTACAAATATCTTGTGCTTTTCAGGTTATGAAAGAGCAGGAACAGTACATTGCTACACAGTACAAGGAGGCCAGAGATTTGGGACAAGAATTGAGGCTAACCCAGGAGCAGTTGCAGAACGCTCACACAGAAATGGTGGAGGCTCATCATCAACAAGTCCAAGCACAAAGAGAAATAGAAAGGCTCACCAGTGAACTAGATGATATAAAACAACTTTCTAAAGAGAAAGTAATCCTTATTCTAAATCATTTCATATTACTGAAAATCTTAAAAATTTTGTTTTGAAGTGTATTCTTAGAAAAGAACGACCTGTGTTGCACAATATGAATGTACTTAATGCTGCTAAATTATACACTTGAAATTATAACTTTTTGTGTCATACATATTTTACCACAATTTTAAAAAGAAGAAATAGTTAACTATGTTATACGTAGATAGTTTTATAATATTACTAGGAACTTTGTAGTATACTCAATTTGCAACTGTTGTGAGACCCGCAGTTCACAACTCTTGGGAGGAAGTATAATGCTTTTGAAAAGCTCTGTGTATCTGTTTTCATGCCAACACCATGCTAGTTTTGTGTGTACTGCAGTTGACTGCAAGTTACTGAAACCTCAGGAAAACCACATTCACTTCAGAGGGGATTATGTATCTCATAAAAGTATGTAATTAAAGTCATAATCATAGCTAGCGTAAACTAGAATAAATACGTTTGTATAAAAACAAATGAACTTGATAAGCAAACAGTGCCTCTAGTTAGCAAAAATAGAAAAGCATACGAAAGAATACACTGTTATATGCCAAATTTCAATGATTATCTGAAGTTCAGTACCCTGTGGTTATTAATTTGTTTCACAGAAAGTACTGGTAGAAAACTAACATTATGATAGCAAACAATATACTGATACTTTCCCTTTTACGTTAGACGTTTTTGAAAGGTCTAAATTTTAAAATGTACCATTTAATAAGCTAATTTGAATGTAATGTTTATATAAAAATTAAACTGCTTGCATTAATGCATTGGATTTAGGTATGATAACCAAGTAAATAAGTTATATTGCCTTTTCTCATTATCATTTTTAAGGAAGCTCACAGAAATCATTTAGCTGAAGAATTAGGGGCGTCTCAAGTACGTGAAGCTCATTTAGAAGCAAGAATGCAAGCAGAAATCAAGAAATTGTCAGCAGAAGTAGAATCGCTCAAAGAAGCTTATCATATGGAGGTAAAGAAAATTTAATTTGTTCCAGTATCCCCCATAAAAATGGGTTGACTTAACTGGACAGAAGTAAGAGTGTAGCTCCTAAGTGTTCATTATAGATTAACATATTGTGGTTTTTGTTTCTGATAGCTAAATATACAACTTCCATTTCATACCTAGTAAGCTAATGTACTATTGTATAGTATAAGATTAAGAGCTTGAGTTCCTTATCCAGACATTCTTAGGTCCAAGGCCTGGCTCATCATTAAGCATCTACAGAATCTTAGCCAGGTTACTTAACCTTCTAGAGTAGTTATAATAAATGGTACTGTCTCACAGAATTGTATTGAGGATTAAATAAAGTAACACTTGTAAAGTTCTTACACCAAGATTGATTATAAAATGACACTTGCAAAAAGCTGGAAATATTTAGTAGCTAGTATAGTTTTATATGATGTTAATCTATAGTGTTTGTAATTTACAACATTTGTTCTGATAGTAAGTTAGAGAATACTAAAATTTTTTTATGTATCACTGTGTCTTGAGGTTTTATAGATAAGGGGAATTTTTTCTTTTTTTAAGACAGTCTCCCTATGTACTCCACGCTGGCCTTGAACTCACTGTGTAGCCCAGGTTGGCCTCAAACTCTCTGTGATTGTCCGCCTCAACCTCCCAAGTGCTGAGATTACAGGCATGCACCACCACGCCTGGCAGAACATCGTGTCTTGTAAACAAAATACATTTGCAAATTGAATTCACTTCTCAAGCCAAGAGACTATAAACCTTAAGTTTTTTGCCTTTTTTTTTTTTTTTTTTTTTTGAGACAGGGTTTTGCTATGCAGTCAGGCTGGCCTTGAACTTGCTTCAGTCCTCCTCAGCCTCCTGAGTGCTGGGATTACAGGTGTGCACCACCGCACCCAGCCTAGTCTGGGTCTGTAGATATAAATGTAAATGCTATTGGATTGATCATAATTGTTGAATTGATTTTTAGCTGTTCCATTTAGTGACTATCAATAATGAAGTCTATCTCAAGTATTTGCTCTTAATTGCTCATTATAGTTTTATTACATGGCCTTTAATTTTATTACCAATTGTTTACTTTTAGTTTTATAAGCTACCTAAAAAAGTATATAAAGTAAGTTGTAAAAATTGGTTCTAGTCTTGCTGTTCAGTGTTTGGTACTAATATTTCTATGTCTGACCTGAAATATTTCAAAAACTATGGAATGTATTTTTCTGCTTTGATTACTGACAAAAATTTATTTTCAAAGAATGTGTATTGTTTGAATATAAAAATGAGAGTGTAAAGTGTTAAAGTAATGGAAAGTTAGAAAAAGGGGTCAATAATTTTTACCAGAATTTTTAAAATGTGATTTTATAATTGTCAGAAAAATCATTTAATAATTATGAAACTTCTGGTTTTTTTAGGATGAAAATGAGATTGTTTTAACATTTTGTTGTGGTTAATTTTATAGATAATCAAAAATAGTATAGTATAAGTAGTATAATCTCCCTATGTTTATAATTTAACTTCTCTAATTATCAATTCATGGCCAATTTTATTTAATTCCTAAATGTGTTGACCATTTTTTTTCATGTAAAGGAAGTACTTTGAGGACCAAAAATGAGTGCTGTTAGTAATTAAAGCAGGACAGCAAAGTGTACGGCCTCGTTGCTTCTAGACATACAGGGAAGTATAGTCAACATGTCTTTAACCTTGGTCACTTCCCTCCCTGTTTTTCTCTCAGTATTGAAATATTTATTTTGATGCACCTGGAAATTTTTCAATAAGTATTTCTAAAAGAGGACTTTTTAAAAAATCCTCACAATAATAGCATTATCATACAAAATTTCCTTAATATCATTAAATATCCATTGTTCAGATTTCCACTTGTCTCAAAAATGTCTTTTATAGGATCCAGATAAAGTCCATTGTATATGGCTGTAAGTAAATTTAAGACTGGCTGTTGCTTCTCTCCCATTTTGCCTGTAGTGTTTTACTTGTTTAGAAATCAGGTGTAATTAGCTACAGAGAGAATTTACTTTTTTTTAGAAAAAAGTAAGTGTTTATAGCAAGTATGACATTATTGTGAAAACGAATACCACTTTCTTCTCTCCTCTCCTCTCCTCTCCTCCCCTCCCCTCCCCTCCCCTCTCCTCTCCTCTCAACTTTATAGATGATTTCACATCAAGAGAACCATGCTAAATGGGAGATTTCTGCTGACTCTCAAAAGACTTCTGTTCAGCAGCTAAATGAACAGTTAGAGAAGGCAAAACTGGAGTTAGAAGAAGCTCAGGACACTGTAAGCAATTTACATCAACAAGTTCAAGACAGGAATGAAGTAATTGAAGCTGCAAATGAAGCATTACTTATTAAAGTAAGTAAGCGTACAAAAGTAATGAAACATACATTTATGACTTATTTTTCCTCTTTTCATAGTTTGTAAAGGACATTATGGCCAATTATGTACCTGTTTGAATAAAAAGCATTTTATATAGAAGACTAATTTGGGAAATTACTACTATAGTGTACATCATACTGCCACAAAAATATTTATAAATACTAAAATACAAATTTATCCAACCGTAACATTTACTTTAAAGGGTATTATATTTCATGTACCTAAAAAAGAAATGTTTTCAGTAAAGTTCCTTTAAAAATCATGAAGTAGAAATACAAAGATTATACTTAAGATTTTTTTTTTGTTGGATTTGAATATAACATCATTTTTGTGTGTTTTTTTGTTGTTTTTTTTTTTCTTCCAGTGCCAGGAATTGAACTCACAACCTTGCGCCAGGCAGGTGCTGTGTTGCTGAGCTAAATCCCCATCCCCCTGTAACATCATTTTTAAACAGCCTGTTGCTACTTATTCACATCTATTGATCCTGGCAGTTTTCTCTGAAATTTGAAATGAATCTCAGTGTGGATGTATAGAGATTAAAAAATTCATTTTGTATTGGTAAATATTATATTAATATATAAGATAATTAGTAAAACCCTTAAAAGTGAACAGACTAATAGTTGTGAAGCAGTAAGTGATTTTATAGCAAAATGGAAAGTTTTTTTTTTTTTTTGTCTTTTTTGAAACACGGTCTCCCTATGCCATTCAGGCTGGCCTTGAGCTCACTGTTCCCAGGCTGGTCTCAAACTTGCAATGATCCTCCTGCCTCAGCCTCCTGAGTGCTAGGATTACAAGCGTGGGCCACCACTCCTGGCAAAATGGAAGTTATTAAGAAAGGAAAAAATTCAACAAAATAATACCTTAGTAATATTTCTAGTTCTCTAAGCTGAGCACTTAAATTCTTTTTTCTAACAGGGTTGACATTTATAGTACTAGATGAAAGCTGAATAGATATCTAAAATTATGTTTAGAGACTGGGATTATAGCTCAGTGGTAGTGTGTGCTTATAATGTGTGCTTTGGATTCAATCCCAGGAACATGTATGTGTGTGTGTGTGTGTGCGTGTGCGCGTATTTAGGCTGGATATTATTAATACTCTCATTATAACAATATTCCTAATATTTTAGAAATTTATAACATTTATACAAAGTTACAAAGGTTCATTGTAAAAAATCAGCCTTAAAAATTAAGGCTGTGTTGTATCCTTGTTATATTAATTATCTCCACTCACTTGCTTGATAGATACTCTTACCAATGAGATAAGTGCAATTAGACTGCACATATCAATTACTCAGAAGATTATAAGTTCAGCTACATAGGAAATTGCCAAAATATTGGCTAAGTAGTAGCCATTCTTGAATGAATGGTAGGGATTGGGGATATAACTCAGTGATACGCAAGGGTCCTGAGTTTGATTCCCAGTAAAAAAATAAATGAATGGTAGATAAAGATCTTAGAACACATAGTGTGATTGGGCAGTACATCAATATATGTACCAGTCAGAAAATAGAATCCCCTTGTTGACTAATACAGCTCTCAAACTCAACCTCAAAGGCTCTAAATTCTAGAAGAAAAGTTAGAGGATAAAAGAAAAATAAATAAAAGTGCCAGAGCATACATAACACTAAGAATTACAGAAAGGAGTTCCATTGACAACATCAGTAAACAACAGAAGAAAATCAGAAGTGAGGGAGAAAACTAGGAGGCAACTAGTCTTTATAGCTTACTTCCTCCAGTACCCTAATATCCTAGTATTTGAGGGCACCTGGCGCAAGAGCAGAGCTAAGACAACTCTCCGACAGCCCTGAAGGCATCAGTATATTATCAATCAACCTTTTTTGAGTTTTAAGAAAAAGGTGAATTATAAAAAAAAAAAAAAAAAAAAAAAGGTGAATTATGTTTAAGGTACTCCGTATACTACTTTTCTTTGTGTAAACATTGTATGTCATCCTACTAATGTGAGATGTTTTTCAATTATGATGAGGTAATAGATGACAGAGAAAAAAACCAACTCCAGATGAGCAGAATCCCATTCTGTGTCAACTCTGTAATCCTATTAAGTGTAGCTGTAAAAATGTGAATGTGAGTAGGGCATGGTGGCACAAACCTCTAATCCCAGCACCCTGGAAGGCTGGGGCAGAAAGATCACAAGTTCAAGCCCAGCCTGGGCAATTTAGTGACTTAGTGAGACCCCCATCTCAAAATAAAAAATAAAAGAAAGACTGGAAGTATAACTCAGTAGGAAGGCCTTGGGCTCAATCTTCAGTACCACAAAAAGGAAAGAGAATATGAACGTGGGAGGGGATGTAACTCAGTGGTAGAATGCTTATATAGCATATATAAGGCCCTGAATTCAATTCTTAACACTGCCAAAAAAAAAAAATGTCGATGTGACATTTACTGCAAAAAATTTGCCTTACATGTAAAGTTTATCTAAATAAAGTAGTATACCTGAGAAAACTAGAGTATGTATGTTCAAGTTTTACTTTGGAATGCAATTATATAGTAATTATGGCAGTTTTAGTTATAAGCATAGTAGTTTTACAAACCAAACTTAAAAATAGAAGCTATCAGATTTAAAGTGACTGATTTATTTATGGATATAGAAAATAGATATGGGTATATCTTATGGATATGTCTTGTAGATGCCTGTAAGAAAAAGTAAATGTACTTACTTACCAAAATATAATCTTCTTATCTTTTTAGGCTTTATAGTTTTTCAGTGTTATGTCTCATTCCTAAGTTCCCAATCTTGGATCAGAGGGCCTGAATGAGCATGGGAGAATATAATGAAATATATAATGAAAGTTTATTTAGTAAAGATTTATTTATGAAATATCAATCTCTGTTTTAAAAATAATTCTAGATTAAGAAAGTGTTCTTTTAATAAACACATATAAAACAGAATAGCTTTTCCTATTAGAAATTTTGATAAGAATCTTTCGCGTGTATGTCCATATTGGATTGAACAAAAGATGGTATACCTCTACACTTCCGCAGAGAAAGTTTTAGTTGTAAGGTTTCATTCTTAAATAGAAATTGATTCCTTAACATTTACAAAAATCTAGCAGAAAAATCTGGTTTTCATGTAATTCCTTACAATATGCTAAACATATTTCAAATGGACATATATAATTGGCTCCAAATGAAGCTATCTTAAATAGTGTTGGGTTTAAACAGCACTTGGAAAACTCTCAAGAATTGTAAAAACAAGGCCAGGGATATAGCTCAGTGGCACAGCGCCTGCCTAGCAATCATGAGGTCCAAAGTTTGATTCCCAGTACAAAAAAAAATTGTAAAAACAATATTTGTATGAATGTTGACTTAGGTGACTTCTGAGTCTGATTCTTTTAAGTAGTTCATTCACATAGCAAAAATATATTGTATAATAACTATGTACTATGCACCATTTTTTCCTGCAGGAATCAGAGTTAACCAAATTACAAGCTAAAATTTCTGGACATGAAAAGGCAGAAGATGGCAAGTTTCTATTAGTCCCAGTTACACCTTTAAAACAAACTATGCCTGATACTCAAGATCCAGAGTTTGCTGAACATTCTTACGCATCTCTTTTCAAGTGCAGAAAACTCCGTCGTTCTATTAGTGCCAGTGACCTTAGTTTCAAAACTCGTGGTAATGAAGATCTTTCTGAAGAATTACTACAGGACTTTAAAAAAATGCAATTAAATCAGCCTTCAACATTAGAAGAAAGCCAATCAGACTCATTTAAACCTCTCATATATAACCTAGAAGATGATCGTTCTGAGAGTAATGACTTTAGTACTCTTAGTGGAATGCTAAGGTACATTAACAAAGAAGTTAGACTATTTAAAAAGTCTTCTATACCAACAGGTGCTGGTTTAACTCAGGTATGTATTTTATACATTAGAGGTTGTAATAATTTGTCTCCAGTGAATATCATTTTATTACTTGGAGGAAAATTCATACAGGGGTTGAGCAAATTCCCAAAATGCTTGGGACCAGAAGTGTTTCAGATTTCTTCAGATTCTGGAATATTTACATGTGCATAATGAGATATTTTGAAGATGAGACCCAAGTCTAAACACAAAGTTTATTTTTTTTTAATATACACAGATAATTTTATAATACTTTTGGTGTATAAAGCAAAGTTTCACAGTACGGAACTTTTCCCTTTTGTGGTGTCTTCTTGGCACTCAGAAGTTTTTGTATTTTGGAACATTTTGGATTTCAGAGTAGAGCTTCTCAACTTGTACTTAAATGAATCATACCATGTCATGAAAATCCTATTTTTATGTGTTTGTCATAGGTCAGTGATGGACAAGCTGGGCGTGGTGGTGCATGCCTGTAATTCCAGCACTTGCGGGCTGAGGCAGGAGGATCAACGTAAGTTCAAGGCCAGTCTAGACAACATAGTAAATTCAGAGCTAGCCTAAACTACATAGTGAGACCCTGTCTCAAAAAAAAGAAAAAAGTAAATGATGGACATATAATATAAAGATTGGAACAGAAAAATATACTTTCCTTTTGTGATACACAGATTGCTAAGTGGAAAAACCAAAAAACTTAAATTTTTATTATTTAGTTTATTAGTATATATGTACTACATGATGTTTACATTCCTTGTGGGAAGTTGGTACACATACATAATGTATCAGTTCCTTCCAAAAAATATAAAGGACTCAAGTTTCACTAAAAAGGGGCTTAGAAATGACTTAATACCTGGGAAAACAACTATTAATATTTGAAAAAGGAAGATGTTCAATTTTATACATGAAGTATAATGAATACTAAAAAGTATATACTTCTCTGGGTGGTGCTATGAAATAACATAGGGAAAGAGAGGCAAAGAGAGACAGCTACAAGTGGAGTGAAAAACATACCCAGCTCACATACTTTATTTTTATGTCATCTGAGTTTTAAAATCAATTTAATTTAACCTTGACTCCCACCCACTCCTCCAAACCAGAATTACTGGCTTTTTATATCCATGTAGCCTATTATTGAGTTTCTGGTTCATATTTTTCAGTTGACTAAATTATGCTTAAAATTATTACAGTGGACTTTTAATTCTAAATTAGCATATGAATATTTCAGGTATTAATCTATTATTTTGGATTATTCTAGGAAGAAAGTTTGTGATTAGAAGATGTCGATGTGATGAAAAAAATGGAATTGTTGGTGCTGTGCTATGTTTACTTTTTATGTTTAGCTCATACTTCACAGAAGATTTATTTTAGTGCTTTCAAATAAATTTCATATTGTATTATTTTTAAATAAAGCATTTTCATCTAAAAATTTTTAGTAAAAGTGAATTAATTCATTTTATACATTACTTCTGGTTTAAATTTGCTGCTTTCCTTGGCTGTTTTGTCAATGTAAAAATCATTGTTAAAATATATAAAAAGTACACTGAGTTACTTACATTTTTATCATACCACCATATTATTTACTATTTTTCTAGTAATACTTAGTTTTTTAGATGGATAGTAAGAATTTAGAAGTCATTCTGAGATAGGTTCATAATTATACTAACTTTCTAATTCATATTTATAGTTTGTATTATAAATACTTGTTAATTGTTTACTATAAATACTTGTTAAGTGTTTACTATTTATTGTGAACTATTTTAGGCAGTTTATATTTATTACTTTTTTTTTTTTCAGACAAGATCTTGCTATGCAGTTCAGGGACTGGGTTTAAACTCAGTATGTAGCCCAGGCTGGCCTCAAACTCAAGACAGTCCTCCTGCCTCAGCCTCCCCAAGTGCTGGGATTACAGGCATTTGCCACAACGCCCAACTTATTAACTCATTCAGTCCTTGTAACAAATTTATGAAATAGATACAGTATGCTGTTATTTCTTTTATAGGTGGATTTAACATAATGATGCACTCTACTAAGTTTTTACTACATGCTAGAGACCATAACTAATATATAATAGTGATTCGGCATTTGGGTGTTATTTTACCTTCTTTTAAGTAGTAGTAAGTTGAATCATAGCATTTTCTTTTAATTGTCCCAGGCTTCTTCATTGTTGTTGTTGTTGTTAGAGGGAGTCTATTATGGTTTTAATTTAGTTTGTGTAGAATTTACTCAATAGTTTGGTCTTAATCCTAAAGTTTGACCTTTAGTGTGTTTACCTAAGGACTATAATGTAAGTATTTTAAGTATTTTTGAGGGTTTAATGGAAAAGATAGACATAACGAGTGAACAGATGGAGAGGAGTCTTAGCAGACAAATAGAAACTACTATGAAGGAACCAAGTGAAAATTCTAGAATCAAAAAGTACACTATCTCAAATTTTAAAATTCTCAAGATGGGCTTCACAAAAATTTGGAGATGATTCAAAAGTCAGTTGACTCAAAGACAGGTAAATAAAAAAATATCCATTCTGAAAAACAAAGGAGAAATGATGGAATAAACAAGCAATTTTTTTAAAAAAAGAACATCCAAAACTTTTAGGACAATATTAAGACAAGAAGAAATTAAATGGAGCAGGAAAGAAAGTATTTAAAGTTATACCTGAAAATACTCAAGACTTAGTGAAAAAAATTATAACCTGTAGATCTTCTAAGTTCAGTAACCTTAAATAGGATAAATACAAAGAAAAACCTACTTAAGCATACATTGTAAAAATCCTAAATACCAAAAATAGAATATTTTAAAAGCAGAGAGCTGGGTGTGATGGCCTATACCTATAATCCCAGCACTTGGGAGGCTGAGGCAGGAGGACTGCTGTGAGTTTGAGACCAGCCTAAACTGCATAGTGAAAACTTGTCTCAAAGACCAAATAAAAAAAAAAAATAAAAAAGTCAGTGATCTAAGTTTCTACCCTCAGAAATTAACAACAACAAAAGAACAAGTTAATCATTAAATAAATATAAACCAAAAAAAGGGAAGAGCAGAGGTTGGCAATAAAGAAAATGAACACAACTGAAAGTTAAAAATATTAATAGAATTGATAAGCTTCTAGAAAGGATAATAGAATATAAATTACAATATTTATAATGAAAGAGATATGACTACAGTTCTGACAGGCATTTAAAAGTATAACTAGGGAATATTAAATACACCTTTATGTCATTAAATTTGGCAACTTAGGTGAAATGGAAATCATTTTTTGAATAATACACCTTACTAGAACTAACACAGATGAACTCGTTGTATTTGAGGAGCTGGGGATGTTGCTCAGCTGTAGAGTGCTTGCCTAGCATGTGCAAGGCCAGAAGTTTGGTCCACAGCACCACAAAGAAAGAAGGGGGGAAGGACAGGAGAGCGGGAGACGGGACAGGAGGAAGGAAGGAAGGAAGGAAGGAAGGAAGGAAGGAAGGAAGGAAGGAAGGGAAGGGAAGGAGGGATTGAGGGAGGGAGGGAAGAAAGAAGGGTGGAAGGAAGTTATATTTGCAGTTAAAAACATTCACAGAAAGTATATTTTAGGTCTAGAAAGTTTTACTGGTAAGACTAGCAAACAGTTAAGGAAGAAATAATGTCAGTTTTAAAGAATGTTTTGTGGTTGTTTAGTTGGTTGGTTGATTTTTGGCAGTACTGAAGGTTGAAGCCAGGCCTTTGCCACTGAACTACATCCCCAGACTTTTTAATTTTTTTTTTCTTTAGAGACAGAGTCTTGCTTAGTTGCTAAATTGCCTAGACTATGATCCTTCTGCCTCAGCCTCCTAGAGTGCTGGGATTAATGCGATTTACTACCATGCCAAGCTAGAAAGTTTTTCAAAAAATAAAAGAAAAAAAAAGTTCATTTAATAAGGCAGTGTAACCACAATATGAAAATCTAACATTAAGGACATTATTTGAAAAGAAGACATCCTATGATGATAGGTCAACACACTAAATCACTTACCAAATCTGGCCTATCTTTGACTTGAAATAAAAGTCTGTTGCTTTTTTTTTTTTGCACTGTAGCCACAAAATTGAATATTAACAAAGTCTGAAATATTTACTCTGTGGTTTTTTAGATAAAAAATTTGTCAACTTCTGATATAGACATGGAAATTCCAGACAAAATATTACTGAGATAAATACAGAAATATAAAGAGAATTGTAAATAAATACCAGCATGTCTTTTACAGTAAGTCCATGTTGAATTAATATTTAAACATGAAAAAAAGATGACTGAAAAAAAAAATGGATTAATGGTGTTCCCAGAATAAACAAAATAGGTAGAAAAATATAATCATTTCTCTTCATGATTGCTTTTGACAACATTTAATATCATTTTTATTTTGTTTTATTTTATTTTTTTTTTGAGACAGGGTCTCACTATGCAGTTCAGGCTGGCCTTGAGCGCACTTTGTGGCCCAGGCTGGTCTCGAACTCACAAGGGTCCTCCTACCTTAGCCTCCCGAGTGCTGGGATTACAGGCATGCGCCGCCACGCCCAGCCATTTTTATTTTAAAAACTCAACAAATTAGGAATAGAGGAAACATCTTCAATCTGATAAAAGACATCTATGAAAAATCTATAGCTAACATTACTCAAATGATTAAAAACTTAATGTTTCTCTCCTGAGATCAGGCACAAAGCAAGGATATCTGCTTTCATTAATTCAATAGTAGTAGATGTATACTATACAGTATAATATGGCAAGGAAAAATAAAAGGCAAACAAGTTATAAAGGAAGAAGTCTGTCTGTAGCATGGCTTTATCTGTAGAAAATCCTAAGAAATAGTCAAACTACCTGAACTAATAAATGAGCTTATTAATAAGTTTATAGGATGTAGGTCAATGTGCAAACTTATATTTCTGCTAACAAATAATTGGTAAATTAAAAATTTTAAATGTAACATTAAAAATATATTTAGAATGAAATGAAATAGAAAATACAAAGATTTGTACACTAAAAACTATAAAACATTGCCAAGACGAATTAAAAATATAAATATATAGGTAGTAGATACCATGTTCATTAATAGAAAGATTCAATATTGTAAAAATGTCCTTTCCAAAATTGATCTATAAATTCATTGTAAACCCAAACAAAAGCCCAGTATTTTCTTCTTCATTTTTTAAAAGAAATCTGTACTCTAATTCTACACGGTAAGGACCTAGAGGAGACAAAGTAATCTTCAAAAAGAACTAAGTTGGAGGACTTGTACGACCTAATTTTAAGAACTATTGTAAAGTTAACATATTAATAGAATCAAAAGAAGATATATCAATAGAACACAGTAAACTATATATTTATATTTTATGATATGTAAAGGCATATATTTGATTTTTAACAAGGATCAAAGTCATTCAGTGTTGA